ACATTAAACGTGCATGCGTAAAGGTATTATGCGCGTGCGTTGACGCGTGCGCAGAAAGTTTGTAACTTTGAGATCCAGATTAAAGACTTTTGACTGTATAATCATTGCTATCTTCTCTGACCTCTCCTGTACTACCAAGATATTGTTCACCATCTCAATTCTGTTTGAAAATTACATTTCTGGGGATATAGAAAAAGTAAGCTAATAGTTTAAGAAGTTTCTTACCTCAAGATGTGGAAAGTTTGTTTCCAGTCTTTTGATGCCATAGATTATACCAGAATGATGTAAAAGAGCTAGGCATGACTTTATATGTTTTTGTGATGTCTAGACTACTGTTCTCTGTTTTTGTTTGTTTCATTAATGCATCTAATGTTAATGTTTAATTAATTTACTTTTGTAAGCCGTGGTGAACAAGATAGTTTGTTTGATAAATAAATAGAAAAAAAAAATGTTTTGCATTACTTGGATGCATCTCATACCAGCTGTATGTGTAATGAATATTATGGCAGGAATAAAGAAATGTCCATTTGGCCATGAGTGCCTCCCTCATATAATATCTAGCTTTCGCATCATCATTTATGACATACTTGAAAACTTCTTATGAAAATATGATATTGGAAGTTCCTAATTAATCCATGTTTCATGTTTATTTTTAAATAAGGGATGTTTGTCTTATATCAGATTTCCATTAATGCAACTTAGTAAAATTACCTCAATTTTTATGCTCTAATATAACTGATATTTTCTTGCAAAATTCAGGATCAGTTGCTATTTATAATGTATAATTGTATCATTTGAACTACATAGTATTTTTAATAAAATACCTTTAACAGATTTTTGTGGCTGTTTTTAAAGTTATTACTTTTTGTTCATTAACCCTTTAACTGTCGAGTTATTTTGATGATTTGGTACACAATTGTCAAATTTTTTTATGCAAACAAATTTTAGTACAAAAAACAAGAAGTTAAAATTGATATTTTGAAGTACATGGGAAATTTGTAAAAAGTTTTTAGCCACTGCGTATTTGTTTGAGGCGCGCCACTCAACATGCAGTTGTAAAGTTTCGCTCTAGTGAAGCATTATTCTAAAAATGAAAAAAAAAAAAAATTAATTTTTCTAAAAAAATAAATAAATATAATGAATACCTCTTAGTAATTCAGTAATTCAGCTTGTGTGGTACAACTGAACACTTTTCCAAGCACAACCAACTCCACAATCACTACACCAGAATCGTGTTTCCTTCCTTATCTTTTTCCCATTTTTTATCCTTTTCGAACAACACCCTTGCACTGTCCTGTAGGCTCACGTTTCACAGGAGTAGGAATAGGAAAAAAAGTCGTTCAGTAAGACGGGCAGGTTATCTATTGTAGGTGGTCTGCCCCTTCTTTTGTCCAAAGCGCATCTCATATTTATGTAAAAGCTCTTCTACCTGGATTCGAAATTCAAAAATGTAATACGTTTCCCATTCCGTTTTATAATAATATGAGTTCCAAAGTACTTTGTCTATAAATGTAAAAATATCTTCTTGTATAAGTCATTTTTATTTTGAAGCTGACCCATGGAAGTATCATGAATACTGCTCATCAGAAACACATCCTTCATCTTCGGTTGAAAATCTAATCATCTATATAACGTTCAAAGAAGTGGACGCATTTTACAACAAAAATCCCGTGCACTTTGAAAAGAATAACCTCTAACTTTGAAATCTTCAGTAAAGTGCTGTCATCTATTGAATGAGCGCACATTAACTTTCCCGAGACAGTGGGTTTGACAAAGATGAAGCCAAATAAACGTCTCCCGATATATATTTGGGTATAACAAACGATTGCACTCAAAAAAAAAATTACCCCGATAATACTCGGGCGTGACATTTTCGAACACCAGTGCTGTGCCCGAGATTATCTCGGGCATGACAGTTAAAAGGTTAACATAAATATTATCATGAAAAATCATTGATAGTATGTAGCAACTATTTTTCATGCTTAGCATAATACAATGTTTTTTGTAAACTTATTTGTATTTTCAGAGCAATGGCAGTGCTTGAACCTTTAAAAGTTAGTATCAGTCTAGCAAGTTCTACACCTATATTATTAGATGTTCCTAATTTCCCTGCAGATCCTTCTAAGGGTACACATAAAGTGATATTTTCAGATGTGATATATATAGAACAATCAGATTTTAAAGAGGTACGTTGTTTTATTTTTCCAATGTTAACTTCCATGTTATAAACGTTCTTATATTTCATAATAGGTTTTCATTAGAAACAGTTTGAACCCTGTGTATTTGAGAGGGCTGTGGAGTCGGTTGGGAAAATAACTGACTCCGACTCCTGGAATTTTAAAGACTCTGACTCCCTCGTATATATATATGTAAACATGTACACATGGGTTGCAGCTTATGTTTTTAATATAAAAGAAGTAATAGATGCTACAGAAAAAAATTGAATTATGAAATGGAAAAACTGGCATTAGTTATTTCTAAGAAACAGTATAGCTTCGGCAAGATCCTCTTTGTTGGAGGGCCATAGATCCAATTTGATAACTAAGCTGAAAAGTCTTTCCCACTAACTGAGTAGGAGGAAAGAGCTGTTACTGGGGCTACTTCTTTTAATTTTCAGGTAGATTTTATAAGTTAAAGAGGTGTCTTGCAAACGCAATCTATTTCCAAAGCCGTGTAAATCTTGTTCTGTTTTTGCATTTTTATATCTAAAGGCTCTTGGGTTCTTTATTTCAGGGCTTTGTGTATCTTTTAATATCAAAATCTAATCATCATGAGAGGATGATAGAGACTCAGTCAATGTCTGCAGTTTGATGTCCGATTCGAATTCTCCGATTGTCTGAGAATATTTCATCTTAATGAAAGTTCATAGATGGCTTCTTGGCCTTTTTAATGGTTCATCATCCAAGAAATTCGGGTTTGCGGATTACATATTGAACCAGCAAGATCATTGTCGCAACTAGTTTCTTTTTCTCAGGAAAAGATTCCTTCGGCAAAACCTCCATTTCAGAAGAACAACATCCATCTTCCATCTTGCTCCTGTCAATTATTCAGATGCAACTTTGTGGCTATGTACGATGTAGAAAGAAGAGTGCCAGTTCTGCAAGATCATTACCACCGTCTTTTGTAGTGAAACATTAGGGTGGCTCATCTTCTAAAGGTTCTTAATTCAAAACCTCTTTATATCAAACATGTACTTCCTATCGCGTTGCTGATCAATTAATTCTCCTTTACCTGCTGCTTCCTAAGAATGGATCAATTTGGAGTCTTGCGATTGTGCTTCCTAAATTACCAGTGAGATTTGGCAATGAGGTTTAAAATAAGGCAAATACATTCACTCCTCCCTATTATTTTACTATGTCAATAAAATAAAAAAAACTATTTAGAATGTATATAGTTCATTAATAAAAATAACTCATCTTGTCATTAATTTTTCAATTGATTTTTTCATTTCAAATTCAAACTGTCCAACAAAAAATGGAGTCGGATCAGTGTGTGTGTGTGGATTATGGCAAGCCTCGGGGCTATCTGCCTAAGGGGGGATGCCTTCGTGGAGACTTTATAAGGAAAACTGGCTCGTATACACGTTACACATGGGGAAAACCACAAAAACGCCCATGCAGCCAGCCCGTTCATGGGATTCGAACCTCGGACCGAACTACCAGTGTTCAGCGACTTTACCGCTCGGCCGCTGGTGTGCCCGGAGTCGGAGTCGACCTATTTTTAGCGACTCTAGCTCAGACTCCTTTTACCCCAAAATCTGCCCGATTCCAGCAGGTTTAGCAAATCAAATAGCAACTAAGTAGCAAAATTATAGATTACTTCAGTTATTTTTCATTGAACTTTAAGTCATCAGTAATTTGTAATTAAATTTTAAAAAACTAAAACAAAATCAAATGTGATCTTCTACTGCAAAAGACTGAGAAAACTGTATTTGTAAGTATTGTTATGTGCACTGTATTGCTGTGAATCTATTTTAACTCTAAAATTTAAAAACATATACTATACATGGCACATCTAACTTTTATGATCCTGCATATTATTCATGTAAATTGTATATCAATATTTTTAACGAATTTTTTGCTAACAAAAGGCATTGCTCATTATTATGTTATGATTAGAATAATTCATATGGATAGGTGGAAATCATGCAACATTGTGATGGGGATTTTGCAAAAATTTAGTATGAAATCTTGTAAATTTTGCAAAAGATTATTATTTAAAGTTGACTAACAAAAAACTGCAATAACTCTTAAGCGCCATTCACATTTAATACTTAACGACTGTAGCAGAGCTAACCGGGGCATGGAACACAGATCTATGTAACATAGCTCATTCACACTTACTAGAGGCATCCACTAGTGATAGCCTATAAGTGAGTAGAAAATAGCACGTGCTTTCATTTGTTTATATTTCCTAGCTGACGATATTTTGCCTTGGATCTTTGAACGGTACTGCAAATTTTGAGCAATGTTATTTGTAAAATGCTTCGACCAAAACGTATTGTGAGCAAAAAGCAACGAAAATGTATTTTGTTGCATAATGTTTTTTCCTGCAGCATATATATTGTATGAGACATAATTTTGTCAACTGTAATAAATGAATATTAAAAGTTTAAAAGCATTGTCCTAAACTGTTGACAAGGCAAAATTAAGAAATGCTTTAAGTGACATATTTCATTAACTAGAACACGATTAAATACAGTTTTTACAGCTTAGTTCAAAGCAATGAATTAAAAATATTAAGATAATCACCATTACTTGAAAAAATGTTAATACATAATATAAGTATTAAATAATAACCATCATTAATTTTCTGGGTTGAGTAATTAAGCATGCCAAAGTACATAAGGATTATCATTTTTTTTTTTTTTTTTCTTTCAAAATTTGTAATGTATTGTATAGGTTTCATACCATCAAAAATTATTTAGAAAAATCATAGCAAAAATAAAAACATGTTTTATTATCAGTATTTTTATTCCAAAAGATTAGTGAGTGCTTTCTAGTTTATAAAGTTGATGTGATTTATTTTATGAGTTAATAAACAGTATCATTCTTTTTATGATGAGAAAAGTTTAGAAGGAAAAATATTACAGTAATGCATTTATCTATGCTTTGCCTTCAGTACTTTTAATTCCATAGGAAATTTTATTATACAATTAAATATATTATCTGATATCAATAATTCAAAAAAATATTTGGGAAAATCATAGTAAACTAAGAACATGCTTTGTTATCTTGTTATTAATCAAAAGGGGCATTTTCCCTGAAGGACTATTGTTTTCGTTTTACGAATTTGCGTTGGTTCACTATAAATGTCCATTTCATTTTTCAAACTGTTACCACCAAATGTTAGAGTCCTGCATTATATTTGAAGAAATTAAATAATGAAAAATCTGCATAAATGTATGTATATTTCTCGCATTGTGATAAAACAACGGTACATAGAGCCATCGAATTTTGAATGACGTAATCCTACGGCGAATCTGGGCATGTGGAAGCCCGAATTTATTTTATTATCTATTTCATATTTTGTAAAACTTTAATGAATTTTTGATTAACAAACTCAAGTATTTCAAAGCGAGCAATGGCAATGTTGTACAGAAAAACATTTTTATTTCCAGCATGCGAGACTCTGTATCAGAAATTCTAAAGATGTGCTCAATTTAAAACTATTTTGCGATATTGCTCTTGAAACTGAATTTTATGGTTTAAGTGCGAAGAACATGATATTTAATAAATGAAGTAACAGACGAAGTGTTAAAAAAAGCCTCTTTGAACATTATTTAAAATCTGAAACCTTTCAGATTTTCTTTTCTTTTTACTATCAATATTTTTAACAGTTCATAAAGCTGATGTGATTTATTTCATTATATGAGTTAATAAATAGTATCATTCATTTTATGATGAGAAAAGTTTAGATGAAGGAAAATATTATATTAATGCATTTTTCTAAGCTTTGCTTTAAATTCCATAGCAAATTTTATAATACAATTAAATATATTATTTGGAATTTCTGATACGAGTAATTCAATTAATTCTATGGATTCAAAATCTAAACACAAAAATAGTTCTAAATAGAAAAGAAAATTAATTACTATTCCGACGAAGACGATCTGCAATCATCATCCATACGCATTCTTTCTTGACTTTGCTTTTGTAATCTTTCAGTCAGCTGTCCCGTATAATAGGATGCCGCTGGATTTCGGCAATCAGTTTGCAGTCTTCACCCAAATCGGCAGCTATGATTGTGTATTTTAACACTTTAGCGACTGTTCGCCTATTAATTCGGCTTTTTCGCCAATGCCTACCGATCGATAGCCTATTAATCGGCTTTTTATCGCCAACGCCTACATTACTACCTTTATCATCTAAATTTCATTATTAGGGAGAATCTGCGGCCGAGCAGCCGGTCGGACATGCATATTCTGTTGACCCGCTAGCGGTTGGTAAAGTGTTAACTTTAGCGTGCTGCTGCTGATTTAAAACATTCTCTTTCATGATTGGTCGGTTCCGTGTGCCTACTAGCTCTTTTGTGCAATGTTCATATTTTTCAACTGGGTCCGTTGTAACAAAAAACTGGTTTTTTCTAGCCCATCGGCTAACGTCCCAGTGGGAATGGCCCTTTAATGTTAAGATTTATGTCTCCACAACATATTAAAGGTCACAAAATTCAGAAATTCTTTTAGTATTTTCAGAAAATACCTTCAAAATTTGTAAGCATTCATAATTACATATTTAGCTGTTTAACAGCACATATCCTAGTTTAAGTTACTAATTTTATTATTTTATAAAATGTGAATAAAGAAATTTTCAAATTATTGGCATTGACAAATAAATTCTATATTATTCATACAAACATGCACCAATTTTCCAAAGGTCTGAATTCTGATGTGCCTTTATTTATTCTTATGAAAGCTTGATTAGTGTGTTAAGAAAGAGAATAATTATGATGAAATTTAGAAGAAAATTTTATAATATTCTAGTTTTAACAATTTATGTGAAGCAGTATGTATATGTATAGATTATTAGTTATAAATTGTGTACCTTTTCTTTTGTATAGTTAAATTCTGGACTTTTTCTTTAAGGTATCCCCAAATAATCAGTATAAAAGGTTAAGTGTTGCTCAGCCTGTTGGTTTGCGACATACTGGCTATATTATATCAGTGAAAGAAGTAATCAAGGTAATATTTGCAAAATTTACCATTATTTTCTTTTCATTCAAATATGTTGGCTTTCCTTTTTTTATTTTTATTATTAAATGTTTTTATGTAAACTTTTTAACAAATTTATGTCTTTAAATGTATCCTGTATCATTAGAGCAACCAAGCATTGTGACAAAATCATTTAATGCTTTATAACCAGTGGTGATTCTGCAGTTGAGTTCTTTGTGAGCATTACGAAAACAGTACAATTTCATCTGTAAATCTGTTCCAGAATTAAATTTTTATCTATAATGAATTCATCAAAAATTTAGCATCCATCTTCTTATCTTATAAATGTTTCATTATACACTGCACAAAAATAAAAACAATACTGATTTTTGAAACACTAAAATCAACATGCACAAACACCTCATCTAATCTTAATTCTTTATGTATGCTACCAGAAAGCACGCTCTGAACATCAAAGAATGAAACAATTAATATTTCACACATTTTCTAGGAATTCTATGCAATGTCAAAAGACTAATTGGCAAAGTATTCCTGCTAATGATATTTCTAATGTCACGGGAAAGACATGAGACTTTCAGCTCTAGCGTTAGTTGGAGAATTTAACATTTGTATTCCAGGCTTTGTTTGGAAGTAACAAAATAAGTTGTTTTGAATTTCATCAACAAAGACTGTAACCCATACTGTACTGTATGGAAATAGAAAACCTGAATGTAGTAACTGAAAAGGAATCATGGCATATTGGCATGCAGTGGTGATTTTGCAATAAATTGTCCAAATAGTGAATCATCTCTACACAAAAGTAACCAAAATTGCTTACCAGAAGTTAGTGGGGGAAAAAATACAACATGACTACTAAGAAGGAACTACTGTTTGCTCCTGAATCATTATGTGATGTTAATGGAAAATGAAAATTAAACTGATTTATTCTGTGAATGAAAGCATTGTACTATCGTTCTATATCATGTCTTTTCAATAATAAAAGCCTTTTCTTGACTCATTTTTTAATATTTTGCTTATCAAAGCAAATTTATTTCGTCTACTTTCTAGTCAAACTAAATGCTCCAAATGGTGTTTAAAGTAAATATTCAAAATGGTTGCCTGAGCATCAATATATTTCTGAGTACAAATACCTCTGAACCTTGTAGGGAGGAAAATAAATTGTCTATGACAGTTCAAAGTATGTATGCATTTTTCTGATGCATCATATATTAAAATAATGGGTACATCATGATGTGCCCACATATGCCAGGCATTGTTGATATATATAGTATATATCTAAATATAGCTTGTTTCTTTATTAGTCACCCAAATAGCTCAACACTTTTTTAGCTGTAGCCAAAACCTACTCTTCAAGAACCTAATCTTAATCTTGAATTTTTTCCCTTTCCCTTCTCACTTTCTTGATATTCATCCATTTCTTTGAATTTCTGTAGGGATTTATTCTCAGAATTTAAGGTTAAGCATATGGCATTTAATCATCACACTAGGGAAAACAAAATGTTATTATCATTGGGAGCCATGACCAAATTGTCAGTAAGCAAGTAAAAATATCATGCCAGTGATTAAAAGTGATCAAAACAGCTCATTACAGCAGTTAGCACATCAAGTAGTAATGGCAAGTCTATGCAGCAACTTAAAAATTTGAAATTACTGCCATAGAAATTACTGTTAGTTTACTGACTGAACCAGAAAAACTACTGATAGTCAGCATGTACTGTATTTTAATTCTGATGCTCTAAAAAATACTAAATTTATGACCAATATTACCAACCAGTGATGGAATTAAAACCCATAATAATGAATGGTTTCTGTGATATGCTTGCTTGCTTATTATAAGCAAATTAATTTGTGCCTTTTTACTAATGGATTTTTATTGTATGAATGAATTAAAGGATTATTCTTACATTAACAAACTAAAAATTAATCGCATTTCAAATTTATACACAGCACAAAAATAATGCATAAAAAAATTATGCACAAATAATATTTTTATCTCCTGATACGTAATGGTGTTTTTTTTAATGTATAGTCTATTCCGAATAAAATGTGTTTTTTTTTTTACTTTGACTGAATAAAATTTTTGCATTAATCCCCCTTTAAAAAAAAAAAAAAAAACACTTCATTACCTTCATATAGCTACATGCAAAATTTTGAAAAGCAAGTGCTCAGTTAAGCTGTATAACACTAGGATGAAATTTTAGAATTTAGCCTTTTGTTCTTTATATTTAGCAACATTGAGATAGATGAAGAATCTGCAATCTTGTAGGTCATCAAGTGCAGCCTTTTGAATTGCTGCAGAACAAATCCTTATAACTGTTATTTGGTCTTTCAATTGGTTATTGTTTTCATTTACTTGAAGAATGGATACTTTTTTTTATACTAAATAGTATACAGGATTGTATAAAATAATCCTATTGAATAAAATATTAATGATATCATAAAAACTATTTTGCAAAAAATGACTTGAATATTTCTTTAATTCATAGTAAAAACACAAAGCAGTTTCTTAAAAACTCTGTTTCAAAAGGAAGTTTCAAGCAAACATTGCATTTGATTATTAAAAAACATTAATAATGATAAAGATTCAAGAGAATTATTTCGAGATGATATAATTCTTATGTACTCAAAGAATGTGATGACAGATTCACTACTTTGAGAACCTTGACATATAACAGATGTTAGCATTGCAACCCTTAGCAACCTTATCTAGCTAGGCTATCTTCAGGGTTCCTAAAGAACTATATACATATTTCATAGAGCTGTCAAAAGTGAATATTATGAAGTCTTTATTTGTTATTAAGGATGTTTTTATATTAACATAGTAAATGTGCAGGGGAATAACCATTGTTTTGCTTGATATGCTCTAAAAGTATTTTATGGATTAAATCGAAATTCTGTAAGGTTAAGAATAACAGATACACATCTAGAGGATCAAGTGAAACTACAAATCCTTAAGCAGATTGCCAAAATATTTGCTGTAAAAATTTAATAGTCTTAAAAATATTATTTAAACTTAATAAAATTTCCTGTTGCATTGAAATAAAAATTTAAAAAAAAAATAATAACTGAAACATATGGAAGGAAATTAGTACATGGAACAAACTTCCCATTTGCGGTCATGAGGTGGGATATCTGTTACAGGTGTTCGACTATAATTAAATTGTACAAAATGATATACATTTTAAGGTACACCAATTGAAGTCTCTTACATGTAATGTTATTAACTTAATATGGCCTTCTAATATGTAAATATTTCTAGTCCCTTATAAAAGGTAATCAATTAGTTATTGTAATTTAGAGCAACAGTATATAAAGATTCAACCTCTTTAGAGGAGCTCATGTTTAAGAGTGTGAATGTGATAGTATAATTAGCTTAACCTAGTTTTGCATGCCGTATATATTATTATCTGAAAGTTACATTATTATAATTTGTGCTTTATACTAACCATAGTAAAAATACCTATTAGAAGTGGTCCCGTATTTTGAACAGCTTATTTACAAAAATTTGCTCAAAATGTACATAAATTAATTGACTGAGACATACTGTTATTGGGATTTGCTGGTTTGTGCTCTGAAACTTTGTCAAAACAATATGTTTGTTTGTCATAAATAAAGTTGCCCACCACCAATTTATAGATTTTAAATAAATTAGCCAATTCATTTTATTTCATAAGATTTTACATATGTGCATTTCAAATGGCAGTTCAATTGTGATTAAGATAAAAATTATATGTATGTTTTATTTTAATACTTTTTTATTCATGATTAAAAAATTATCTTCATTGGCAGGACAAAAATAACAAGATAGTTGAGTTGAAAACTATAGGTACTCCAGTTGCAAATGCTAAGAAACCGAAAGCCTTTATTCATTGGGTTGCAGAACCTCTAGAATGTGAAGTCCGATTGTATGAACGATTGTAAGTATTATAAAAATTTCAAGAAAATTGGTTTAATGTGTAAATAGTAATTTATTTTATAATATTAAACATTTTTGAAAATCTGTACACAAATGTTTTTTGTTCCTGATTAATTTCTGAGAAATGAAATGATTTGATTAAAAAATGTTATAAAAGATGATGATACAATTGGTTTAAGCATCCATACTATTGTCCTAAAGATATGCAAAATCTATATATATAGTAAAATCTAAAAGTCTGGAGATGGAATGCATAGGTGAATATACATGTGTAGCAGATCCATGGCAATTTGTCAACTAAGTAAATTTCTGTATTCTCATATGAAATTTTATCCAGTTATGATGTTTCCAACAGAAGTGAACATTCAGAGATAGGTGTTTAGGAATAAGAAGACTGTTGAGCAATATATAAATGTTAAATTCTATGTACATTTGGACTGATGTCCAGAGGAAAACTATAAAAGTGTTGAAGCAGGTTTATGTCACTAACATTCTTAAACATTTTAGTTTCAAGTTATTGAGAACAGATGTCAAAGGTGAACAAGCATCAGCTATAAAAAGTTACTAAATGTTCTATACCAAGCATAAATTGTGCCACAGCAAAAGCAAATTCAAACTAGAAGTAGCCCACCCTGCAAAGTATATAAAAATCATGATTTTGGGTGGAGAAATTAGATATATTTATTTAAAATAGATTTTCTGAAATTTAAATTAGTGTTTTGGCTTCTAATCAGTTTTTCTAATGACTAAAATTTAAAATTATTAAAAATTAAGTTCAAAAGAAATTAGTCCAAATTTGGCTTACAGAACAAAATGTGTCCACATGCAAACCATACCATATGCCATAACACAGGCTCATCAGTTCATGTAAGTCACACAGCAGTGAATCATGAGCTCAGTAGAATTGTATATTATGTTAGTGTTATTGGGACAGCTGGCATAGAGCCATTCTAGCAACTTTGGTTTCTAGTAACCTCAAGAATCAAGAGACTCATATGCACATGTGCAGTGCATGTTGAATGAAGAAAATACCTTTCCCATTCTCATATAAAACAAAATCATTTAATCGTAGTATATGGTATGCACAGGCTTTAGTGACATTAAAAGGAACAGTAAACCAGGCATTTTTTATGATGAGCAGTAAACGGGTCATTTTGGTGTTAAAGGCAATTTTCAAAATTATGCCAAGGCCGTACCGTTATAGGATTTACCAAAATCTTACCCTTTTTAAATAAAACTATAGTAGTCATTTTGCGGTAAAATAAAAAAATAGTAATCAGTCTTAGGCTAACCAGAATTAATTATATTGTCAAAATATCAATATGTAATCGTGAGAATCTTGGTAAATCAACCACAACTCCCATTTCTTCAGGAGCGTCAACCCTGTTGAGTCCCTGATATTATGCCATAATTTCAAGGAACGAATGACCCGGAACAGAAATATAAGTTTAATCTTATCTATCATTAAATACCCTCCTCAGATTTATTATATTGTTAACAATACTTCAATTTCAGCATTTCTCTGCATATATAAACTATTTGCAGTATAAGATTCCAATGAATTAAGCACGTTTTTGGTTTATGTATGCTGCTAAATAAAAATATCTGAATTTATTTTATAATATTATTCAATAGATTTCTTTCTTTCGTTTAGCTGCAAAATATGTGTGTGGGGGGGGGAACGTTTTTTTAATCCACATTGGGAGATTCTAATCTCAAACTTCGGTGAAGAAAACTCCTATTACAGTTATAATAAAAATGCTTTGGGGATTTTATATATATACCGTAATTTCGCACGTATAGTCCGCACCATCTTATAGTCCGCAGACACAATTTTATATAAAAAAAATTTCAAAAATCATCAGATAGTCCACACCACCGGATAGTCCGCGGACTGTACATCCGAAATTATGTTTTTTTAATACGGCAATATTAATGTATTTTAGAAACAAAGAACTAAGTATAAATAGAAAAAAAGGCAATGTTTCATCAACGTTATCGAAGATGAGAGACAAAATATGAAAACAAAATACTGTGCAACGTGCTATCCTCGTGATAAGTGGTAATGAAATGTGACCTTCGACCCCATTCACTCGGTGTTGCCAAACCACGCTATAAGTAAACGAATCACGCTTTTTTTTCATACTCCAGGTACTTGCTACTAAGGCGCCTAAAAACCGAGCTGATGCATCAACAACTTTTTCCCCTCCCAGCAGTTGCGCTAAAGCGTGCGAAGGATACGGGATACTAATCTGGTTGCGCTAATGATGCTCATATCCGGCATCGCTTGATGCGCCCACCCTGGATTTTAGGAGCTCTACTGCTATACTCATTCGTTCTGCATTATGCTCTATGGTTACTATCGATACGATATATACGAATGTTTTCTTGGAATCTCGCTTTTTATTTGATCATCGGCAATTCAAACAGCGTGTTTTTAAATTTCAACGATTTTACCATGCAACCAGCGTATTAACCAGTCCGCAGCTTCAAAAATTCGATTTAAACATAGATAGTCCACGGACCATACGCGCGAAATTACGGTATAATATATATATAATGGACTCCTTTTTTACTCTCATTTGATTTTTCTAAGATAATTTGAATTAAAAAAAAAATTAAGTATTTTATAAAAAAAATTCTAATAGTATTAAATTTACCATTTGACATTTCTAGGCACTTTACATGTTTTTAAATGCAAAAAAAACGTGACTACCATTCGAGTCTCTGGCAATTTTTAAAGTATATTAAATCTTTGGAATTTTGTTTACTAAAAAGTTGCTTTTCTGTTTTATAATCTATTTCTTCTTTTTCATTGCAATATTTTCAACATTTTAATTGCATTTTTTAATTTAAATTTGGGTTTTAATTTCAAAGTGTTTAATTCACCAAAGAGGCAACCTTGAGTGTCTCATATTATAACATTCTCTTCCCCCCCCCCATTGTTTTGAACTGACGCTTGAAAGGAGTTTTTATTTTTACATATTATGGGTAAGTTTTATTTCTTTTAAATAGAAATAATTTTCATTATCTTACGATCGGATAATTTTCAAGAAACGGTATAAAGAGCTTTTTTCTTGAAGAAAATTGCATACAAATATGTACAATAGGCATTCATTCAATTTCTGGATTGTTTTAGCTTGAAATTTTTAAATATAATTTTTAGGTAAGCCAACATTCGTTTTATTTGATGATATTGGTTTTGCACTAAGCCAAGAAAATTTCAGAATATGTGTTTTAAACATTAAAGAGATTTAATTAACTTACAATAATATAAACAAAGTTTAGTAATTTTTTCTTGGGTGAAAATTTCAAGCATAGATGCAAAGGCCAACGTCACAATCTGGACAGTTCCGAGTTTCTTCCTCATCTCTTATTGTTTCATCTCTTGGAACAAAACTTTGCATTTTTGATGGTTGCCATTCTTATCAGTTGGGGGGATCTGTAATATAAAATGTCTTTCGATCAAATTTTGGATTATCTCCAAGCTTGGCCAGCCTCTTTTTGAAAGGTGTCTGATGACCTGCCATTTCAATAGTTCATCTAAAGATAACGAAACATCAAAGGGATATTTTTCCCCATCCTGTTTTTGTATAATCCGAGTTCAAAAGTTTAGTTAATGAATGAAAAAATTTTCTTATAATATTTCTTCCTCTTCCGAGTAGTAGAGAATCTCCAAGATCTGGTCACAATATCTACCGCCCATATTATTGTAATCGTGACCCGTAGGTTTTTTACACTTTGTCTGACACTGTATGTCTACCATGTCATTTGTGTGAACTGTAGATAGCTGTACCTCTTCTTATTTTCCTTCATGGCAGCCTTTCCGCTCGACAAAAAGCAACATTTTCACCTTGTGGATTCTCCTTTTACTAATTCTTGAGGGCATTTCTTTCAGTTAGTTTAGTTCATAAGTGTCTGTTTGAATTTTAAAGTATGTCTGCCAATTCGGTGAGATAAAAATGTCGTTATCAGACAATATCCTCGTTTTAGCAGAGGTTTGATTCAGAGTGACATCACAACTTGAATGCTGGGGCAGATTCTTTAAAGTTTGCCCCAAACCTACTTTTCAGTATATAAATTGTGACCATATACTCTGAACTTGATTCACATACAAATCGATTTTTCTTTTTTTTCTTAGAGGCTCTTTTTACAGCATATATTGTCACCATCAAACAGCCTTGAAGAGCAATGAGGGTTCATCAGTTCAATATCACGTTCCAGTTCAGCTCTTTGAAACTTCATTTAGGTGCTGTAACACTGCCATATTTTGCAGTTGGGATTTGGATGGTGTTACAATCCCTTTATCTACAAAGCGAAATTGGTTTTGTAACATCTGTTTACTAGGCATTCTGTTTGCCCTCCGGTGTGAATTGAATATTTTTTGGGATCAGTTATTATTCTGGTTTTTTTAATACCTGTAAAAACTCTGAGAAATTTAAGAATTTCTTCCTTTGTGACAGGTATCAAAGGTTTTCTAATTTGGAAGGTAGAATCCTAGAGAATTTTGGCTTGTTGGCTATCTGTTTTCCGATGATGAGATCCCTAAATGTCATTCAAAATAATTAAACTATTGTAAGACACCAAAACTTAGATCAAAATTGTATTTACCTTTGGTGTTCCCCCAATTAACGGGAGGTGCATAATCTGCTGAAGAAGACCATTTTAGTCCATGATCGTCCAGGCAACATACAGATCCATCAAAACTGCTCAGATTCACTAACCGAACTTTCATAAATCAGTTATTCAGAATTTTCAGTCCATTTATACTAAATCAGATCCAGTTCACTATCCGACTCTTCACTCCAAAATACCGAAAAAAATCTTTTTATCGAACAGAATCCCATGCATTCACAATGGCTTCCTAAGTGGCGAGCTATGATAAAATTCACATAGCATAAATACACATTTGATTAGTGCTGACATCTAGTTTAAAATAAACTAACTATCTCTAATTGCATAAAATAAAATATTCTGGTACTCCCATCTGGTGTCTAAAATGAGAAATAAAATTTTTTCCGTGCAAAAGAAATGAATAAGTTCTAATCCTTTTAGGACGTTGCTTTTGAACTCTCCAGCCTGAAAAAATCACGGGCACGAGAAATAGAGGACGAAACGTCACCTCGTCATTTTAACAGGAGCAAGAAGTAAGGGGTTAATGATTTTACTGGGTATTTTTGCTATTTTTCTTGCTTTGGGGATTAACAGATTTTTCGGGTGAACTATTAAGATTAAAAAATATATAGAAATGGTTCATCAGGTAATTCTGAATACACAAAAACAAGAATTTTCTTATGGAAGAGGAATTGTAATTAATTTCAGCATATCCTCCTCCTGACGACGTTATGTTGCAGTTGATTGGATTCCTCTTCTTTCTTGTTCCTGTTTTACTTTATTAATTTTTGGTTTTTCTTGTTATGGTTTATTTGAATTTTCTTTTAACATTTTCAGAACTCTAAACTATTCAGTACTCTATTCTACATTTAAAGGATTTTTTTAAAATTTATTTATTTGAATTTCATTTTTTTGGTTTCAGTGGAAAATTGGCTCTGAATTTCTTTCTTTATGTATATATAGTCCTATGTAATTGGAAAATTTTTGTGTTTTTTAGTGGTACCATAATTAATTTAACTCTCAGCACAGCCAATATGCACTACATTATCAAAATTACATTTGACAAATGGTGCACTTGGCCTTACAATAATTATGTAAAAAACATTTTTATTTATTTAACATATGAAAGTTGCCTTTAATTATTAATATATCTTCTGGCGTGGTTTCACTGCGATTACTTCTGTTGTCTCAGAGAATAAATTTCAAACCTGAAAACATCCTTTCAGCGCTAATTTGTGTAGCTGGAGCTGCCAAAACCACCATTGAAATCTTATACAAGTGTGGATAGTAATTTTATTCTCTTCCCAGAAATTTAAAATATTATGTTTTTTATCGAGTTATGTTACATTGTCAAAATTATTTCAAATGGATTCAATGTCAATCTCAGTAGAAATAGAGGATTATGTGTTTTTATTGCCAATTCTTTACTTCTTAAAAGTCTCTAAATCGGCTTCATTTTCATAACTTTCAGTAGAAGATTGTGTTTCCTCATTTACGATTGAAATGCATTTTTTCAAAAATTGTCATTTGTTCCAAATATTCTTTAAATGTTGCACAGCCTGTACTTTTTGAGACATGGAAAGCAAAATTTGCTAATGCAGGTCCAAACAAACTGCTCCTACTAAATATCACTTTCTATTAACAATGCTTCTCTGTTAGATAACTGATTATACAAAAACATCTGCAAAGAAATTTTTTTAATTTGGTTACTTTATTTTGCAATGGGTCCAAATTCCGTAAAAATCACTTAAAGTTATTTCTCCACTTGGTAGTTTCAAAGTTGCTTCTGTTAGGTATCAGTGATTAATTTAAATTTCACCCATTTACTGTCTGTAAAATAATAATTTAAATTACTTTCTGCTAAAGATTTTAAAAATTAATACACAAGTACTTACGCTATCAATAATTCAATATCTGAGGACTTTACGAAAAAGGTGGCCGCTACGGGCGCAAAACAAAAGAATAGAAAGCCGGTTGAGAGTTACACTTAATTTTTAATTTATTCTTTACATCCAGTTGACCATTATACTTACTTTCCATGAATTAATACCAACTGTCATTAGAATTTTTACGTCTCTTGACATATTATTATGCTTACACCACAATCCCTTTCTTTGTTAGGGTGGCACTGCACTGGATACTTCCTGCTGATCAGCTGATTTGCCTGTCTAAAGTCTATACAAACATCTGTGGATGATTGCATGCTGAGATGCGAAAAATATAACTTAGACTGATATTTTTCTTAAAAAATCATCTATAATTGTAGTTCATTCAACTGAATTAAATCTGCCTTCTACAAGTAGTTTCACACGAAACTGAAACAGAAAAGTACTAGCGAATATCAAAAGAGGAAATCTATAAGAAATGTATATGTAATGATGATAATTTTATGGTTGATGTTAAATTAGAAAATATTGATAAGTTGGTTACAGTAACAAAATAACTGAAGATACATCAAACTGAAATAAACTGATATTTTTTCGGTTCAATTCCACTTCAAAGCTCTGTAGTCTTTAGTGTTTCACAAATCTATATTATATATTATGATAAGATATCTTATCATAATGCACTGCTATATCTTATCATAATGAATTTCAATAGTAAAAGAATCTCATGCTGTTAACTTTTATTTCATATTATGATGAATTATAAGCTGTTTGAGTAGTGAATGCTTCTGATGTAATTTTGCAAATTTTTTAAATATTTTATAGTTTTCAAAACATTTTTAATGCTTTTAGATTTAAACATAAAAACCCAGAAGACCCAAAGGAAGTTCCTGGAGGATTTATAACTGATTGTAATAAGGTATTTTATTATCTTAATTTTTACATTTGATATTTAAATATTATCATATAAGTCTTTTATATATTAGTATGTATACTGTACAAGAGTGGATGGAAAGAAGATGATGATGTTTAAATATGAAATTCCTATCCATAAAACTGTCTTTAGGATCTTTCTTCACCTCTAAGTGCGGCCCACCAGCGGCCGAGCGGTAAAGTCGCTGAACACTGGTAGTTCGGCCGAGGTTCGAATCCCGCGAGCGGGCTGGCTGCATGGGCGTTTTCGTGGTTTTCCCCATGTGTAACATGTATACGAGCCAGTTTCCATCAGAAAGTCCTCCACGAAGGCATCCCTCCTCTTTGGCAGATAGCCCTCGAGCCTTTGCCATAATCACGCACACACACACACACTCACCTCTAAGTGCCACTCAGCTCTACTTGAAACTTACTGGGTCTCTGTTTCATTCAAAATGTTTTGTGATTTGTTGTTACCTGATTTGTTTGTTTTAAAATGTTTCTGAAGTAAGACATATATGGTCATCGAAAATGCTTAGCTATAGCTTGGTAACTGCTTTATCAGGGTGATACCATTGCATTGAAACACTGTACTTTTACCTCATTATGCACGACTTTCGTAGATAAGAGAATTAGGATAATTTTTATTTCATCCTACTCTTTGTGATGTAAACCAACAAGATGCATACAGGGCACCAACTCTCAATCTGAGAGGTGCCAAAAGTTTAGTTTCCAGGAGGAAGACCTAGTGAGAGGTCATAGATAAGGAGAAGGCTCATGGGAGCAGACAGCAAAATGAAGTTAACTTGCATTAACAAATGTACTTATTTCAATTATTAGTAGCATAATTCTAGTGTCCTAGTGTTTTGTGTGTGAATAAATATTTATAATATTTAATTATTTATAATTATGAAGTTTAAATATAATATTAAAATAATAATAAAGTATAATATTAAAATATTTATAATTATGAAGTTTGAATCATTTCTCAGTGAGGCGGCCTGCGAAGACAGTGCAACATTATACTCTTCTGAAGACATTTCCCCCCCCCTTTTTTTGTTGTTACTGCTTCCGAGTTTGTGAACTCATTTCCATGGTTCTAGGTAACACAAAGGACGTAAGTACTCAAAATCTCAAAGCTTTCTGTGGCTGGAAACCAATCTGGCCACATTCATGGTTCTGTAAGACTTTGTTAACGTTAATAAAGCAACACAAAATATTAAAATGATATTCTGAGACATCCGAATGTTAATTATGTGTCACAGGTTACCTCAAAATACCTTTGTCATATGTTGATGATACAAGTGTTCATAATTTAAGATATTGTTCATCATCCGAGGCATAGTTTGTTGAGACAGTGACAAAATATTGCTGAAGTTCAGGGCTTTGTGATCCAGTGTTCTTATTTAATGAAACTGACTACAAATCTTTCATTGTTTAAACAGGTTACTAGTCCCTCCTTCCCAGAACATTAAAAAATGTAATAGGATGTCTGCAACATGTAATTTTGTTTACATATTAATGACTTTATTATTATTAAATAATAAAACTAATACTATTTTAAGCATTGGAACTCCCCCCCCCAGATAACCTTGAACTGTGTAATGGTTTTTTAAGTGTCAACAGTCCTTGTATAAAAAATATGAACTTGCATCATGCACAATGTATAGAGATTTTAATAAGATAAATTAGGTATTCTTATTTATTTTCTTTGATTACATTACTGATTAACAGTAGTTTGACTGTAACAATACTGATTAAAAATGTACTTTTTGCAGAAATCACTTCAGTGCATTAGTAGTGCCTTTGTTGATACATCAGTAAAAGAAGCAAAGGTTCATGATAAATTTCAGTTTGAAAGGTTGGGTTTCTTTAGTGTGGATCCAGATTCAACATCTGAAAAAGTGAGTTTCTCTTCATTTTCTGTAATATGACACTCTAATACTCTAAATTGTTTTAAGATAAAATATGTAATGTGGCAACACTTTTTTAAAAAATATGTGTATATTTGTTTGTCTAGCTAGTAACGGTATACTGCTATTTTGGAGTTTCTTAGAAAAACAACAAATTTATTCCCTCTTTAAAAAAAAAAAAATGTGCAATATTTGATGTTAAAAAAAGTAACTTTATATATTAATAAATTAACTCATATCTTTTGCAAATTTCATTAAAGAAAATGATTGAGATTTTCATTTTAAAGTTACTGCTGCCACCTGGAGTTTATTATGTAATAAAAATTTTCAAAATTTGCTAACATTAAAATCTCTGCAGGAAATGTAAAAAGGAAATATGTGAGATAACAACAGTGATACATGATATCACAGTATCTAAAAACTGTTTTTATCCACAGCAATGTATAATTTAACTGGACATAATCCTAGAATGTATAAACAATTTGGATCTTCTGTCTCTCACCGACTCCTATCAGAATACAAGATTAATAGCTATTAAAAAAAATTTTTGTTTTGGTGTTATTGTTTTGAATATAGGTTTAATTTAAGCAACCACATGAACTTATTCTTCAGATTAAACTGCTTGCAAATACAGGTAAGTTGTTGTTATTATTTTTCTGGTAATTATAACACAAATTATTCCTCTTTTCTTTTTTTTTAAACTGCTGTCAGATTAACTGTGATTTCAAGTTAACCATGGAAATTTTTCCCAATGTTACCCATTTAATCAGGAGTATGCTGTAAAAGATCTTTGTAAATTGAGGCATTCTTATTAAATCTTCCTTATCCAGCTGCTGCACTCTGAAAAAATAAATTGTATCATAATCTGAAATAACATAGATTCTAGTTAACTGCCACAAACTAAGACTGTTACATTTTCATCCTGATTATCTGAAATAAGATTATCAAACATATCATTGCAAGTAATTCTAACATTTTATTTAAATTAATTATATGAATTCTTTTATTACATAATTTTTACAAATTTTGAATGTAATTAGTTACATTTTGTCTGGAAGTGCTTCTTTCAGTAATTCTAAAATATGTAATTTAAAGTTAGCATAATCCAAAATGTTAGTGTAAGATTATTACTTCAAATAAAAAAGCTGATGGCAGTTTGAAAACCATAGAACTTTTAACGGAAATATGGCTATTATTCAGATTTTGGAATTGTGAAGATCATAAAAAATATTCTCTAAATTTCATTCTGAAAGAAATTGCTAAATTTTCTATTGGTTAGCATGATTATTACAAATATTTACTAAGTTTCATTCTGTAGACGTAGAGGTTATGAAGCAAGGCTGTTATGAAGCAAAGCTTTCTGTGGCTGGAAACCAATCTGGCCACATTATTGGTTCTGTAAGACTTTGTTAACGTTAATAAAGCAACACAAAATATTAAAATGATATTCTGAGAGATCCAAATGTTAATTATGTGTCACAGGTTACCTCAAAATACCTTTGTCATATGTTGATGATACAAGTGTTCATAATTTAAGATATTGTTCATCATCCGAGGCATAGTTTGTTGAGACAGTGACAAAATATTGAAGTTCAGGGCTTTGTGATCCAGTGTTCTTATTTAATGAAACTGACTACAAATCTTTCATTGTTTTAAAAACAGGTTTAACTAGTCCCCCTCCTTCCCAGAACATTAAAAAATGTAATAGATGTCTGCCAACATGTAATTTTGTTTACATATTAATGACTTTATTATTATTAAATAATAAAACTAATACTATTTTAAGCATTGGAACCCCCCCCAGATAACCTTGAACTGTGTAATGGTTTTTTAAGTGTCAACAGTAGGCATGTTAGGTATCACCATGCCTTTCTAAGTGCTAAGTTTCTGTCCTGGAGGGAATTCAGAGGGAGAATACCCTGGGGGTGCAGTCCAAGTATCCCCACCAACCTTGACAGGATTTCGGCTCACCATATATTTTAAATGCACTCTTGCCACACAGACATTGTACATGTACAAACATCCATGCCCTCTCCAGGAGTCAAGCCTGAGCCCTTCATTATGGTAGTCAATGTCGTTAACCATTATCCCATTTGGGCAGCTCTGTATGTAAATACTGAAATGGTTACAAAGAAATGCGATTTCACATGTAAAATAATGCGGGAGCTGAAAGAGGGGCATATAGCCTGAGGAGTGTGTCAACAAATTCAGTTTGTGCTCTAGTGTTTGTATTATAGTGTAGATGGCTTTTCAAAATCAGTTATAGAAATTCAGAGGGTTGGTTTTGGTCAATTAGGAACAAATACCAGTGGTTACTGCTAGTTTTTCAGGCCAGAAAGACTGATAATAAGCTATAGCAAACTAACTGCATAAGAAATAGCAAGGGATCTATATTGTAGTTTAACTATGGCCAAACAACTCCATAAAAGTGGATGTTTGGCTCGTAGTGTTCTGTGCTGTGTTCCTCTAACCATCACAGCATAGCGATGGTATGAAGAATACAAAGAATAGCCAGCAGTACAGTTAGATTAGGTATTTTTTGTAAATGAAAAAAGATTAACTAATCTTGCAGAATGTTGCCACATATTACTTTACAGATATCTGGAGACATATTTTGATTAACATATAATGGAAATTGGCAGAGTAATTGTTGAATACTATGGTAATTTAATAATTCAGCTCTATGTGGGGTGCTTCAAGGCATCTTTGGCTCTGAGTTTATGAAAATAAAAAATATTCTACTAAACTTGCTTTTGAAGAGTGATGACACACTGCATGATTAATCTTCTCTACAAGATTCTACTAAGATATTTAGGGGTTTATATAGGCCTGATAGATATTTTCTGATAAAAATTTGCATCAACTTGCAACTCTTCCAACAGGTTTTTTTTTTTTTTTTTTTTTTTTTTTTTTTTTTTTTTTTTTTTTTTTTTTTTTTTTTTTTTTTTTTTTGTTTTTTTTTTTTTTTTTTTTTTTTTTTTTTTTTTTTTTTTTTTTTTGTAATTCAATATTTATTGAAGTAGTGATTCATATGTATCACAACCAGTATAGTTAACCATCTTATCAGTATGTCTTTGTATATTTTATATTTGTTGTTTTCCTTCTCACTTTAACATCACTGAAGTATGTTAAAAATGATCTTTACATACATCCAGGCATATATCTTTACATATATTGCAATTTAAAAATGGTAATACCAGTATGGTAATCTTTTCAAGTGTGTGATTATTATTTATGAAGTTTTTGATACAGTGCTCTTAAAAATTACAAATTTGAAAGAGTGTTTCAATAATTTAATTTATGCATTAAGCATGAAAGGAAAAACTTTATAGTCGGAAGAATCTGTGCACAGGACAGTCTCATTTGATTAAGTAAATATCTGAGCTAACACTTAATTCAGAAAGTGAACTATCTTCATTATTATTATGGAAATTTAATATATTTCCTGATTCCTTAAAAGCTTATTATAACTTTTTAAGATTTAAAAAAAAGATTTGCAATGAAACATTTCTTTGGTACATTTACTATTGCAATTAAATAGCACTGTCCCTCATACTGGCAATTTTATAGACTAGGTTTACTGTATAATAAAGGGTACATATAACTTCTCCCAAATAAATAATAACCAGAATCAGTTGCAATTTCAGATTACTTCTTTACAGTATTTTTATGTATTTAATTAATTTCAAAGAGAATTTTTTATATGCAAGTGCATTGTTTTTCACATGCTTTTTTCTCTTTTATTTACAGTTAGTTTTCAATCTAACAGTTAGCCTTAAAGAAGATGCTGGAAAAGACTAACAATCAATATAACTATGTGAAAAAAATTAAAATAAAATAGTGAGAATACAAATATGTTTCTTTCATGAAATACCTCCCCACCCCTTCTTCAAAAATTTATTTTCAGGACAAGTCGTGTATATTAAAAAGATTGATATTAGAATTTGGAACTTTATTCGTAAAAGGACTTGTTACCCATCTGTTACCGGGACCGGATTAAGAAATGTGTTATATATGTGCATACGTATACACACATACATACAAACACATCCATCCATGCATGCATTTCTGAATCTGGACCTGATAACAGAAGAGTATTCATATTTAATGAAGCAATTTCTTTAAAACAGCTTAAAATGTGAAATGAAAGTTAATGTAGGTTTTAACATATATGTAATAAGCAGAAGTAAATATTGGAATGATTTCCATTGAAAAAGTATGCAATTTCTTCTTAAACTTCAAAATAATTCTTTACAAGTATTTATAATTAAAGTATGTGCATAAATATGAAGGACAAAATAATGTAACTTAACTCTCACTGAAGCATTTTCACTGCTTTTCTAAAACTAAAAAGAAAATTTTGAAATCATTTCTCTGATATAATTTAAGCATTCCAGCAATAATCTGATTTCTTTAACTGCACTTTGAAGTAAAATGAATTTTTATGCAAAGTTCTTTTCTTACATAAATATAAAAATGCTCATATTTTACTGCAGATATACTTGCTTATATATTTTGTCTTTACAGGTTTATCCCAAGATCCAAGTAATAAAATTTCTAAATATTTACATTAATTACGGGAAGCCATTACTGTATTTAATCACATCTAATATAAGCAAGTCCCTTACCAAAAAAGAGCCATTAAAGCATGGATATTTTTCCATAACCCAATTACATTTTCTAGCTTAATATATATCAAGAAAACATTCTTCAAGATAAAAAAAAAATGGAACATTTAAATATTTCTAAATGGTTTACAAAAAATAATAGCAACTGACAATTTTAATACACAAAAAGCATAATTTACAATTTTTTTCCAATTGCATTCACATAAAAATTAAGCAACAAAATCCAAAGGTCTGTTGAAACCACCTTTCCTGTTCATGTACTGCCTACAAGAGAAAAATGCAACATTAAATCTTATTTTTCCTCCTTAATAAATTTTAATAATAACAAAATTATTTCACTAACCTGTATTTTCTTTTTTGTATAACATGGACGCCATATGCTACATTTCCTGGTACGTGTTTGCCCTGAAAAATGTTCTAATTAAATATAAACTAAAAAACTTTGAAAGCTTACACAGCACATCATTTTTCAGTAATTAATACTTAACATCCAAAAATAATTATTACCTTAGTTGTGTCAAAATTTCCAAAACCCATTAATTTGATCATTTCCTTTTCTTCTTCAGTCTTTCCTTCAAGATCTTTATCTAGAATACACATATTTACAAGCTACTTTATATGAATCAACATGATAAACATACATCCTGTCTATAAAAGTCCTTACACGGCCTTTATTTTCAAAACCATTCATCACAGACATATACTTTCAGTAACAAAAATGTTTTAAATAATACAGATTCATGTTTTGGTATTTTTAAATTTAAAGAAATGGCAGATTTTCAAATTTTGCTTACATATGCTGTCCCAGAAGAAAAAGAAAATTGAATATAAATTATAATAAAAGTTTAATTTGAGCAATGCATTACATAAAGATGACTATAAATATATTTCTACAATTCAAAATATTAAAAAAAAAATCAATTGAGATATAAATCTTAAAATGTGCGATCATAGGCAAAAATACCTGTCTCTTTCGTGTTATTCAACTTCTTTGTTTAGTAACCTAATTTATTTTTTAAAATAAAGAAGTTTAATTATTTTAAATGTAAGTGTGTTATATTCATGATAAAAATTAATTACAGATTTTTTTTTTCTTTAACAAATCAATAGAAAAATAATTTATCTTCCACTTCATTTCAAGTCTGTTTATTTTACCCAAAATTAATTTTTAAATCTGTCTAAAAGGGGCAGTACATATTCAGTGACATAAACTAGTCAAGCTGTGTTTGATTACTTTGAATATGTACTGCCCCCCTAAGTGGGGGTAAATAATCCCAAGGTAAATGGACTTGACATGAAGTGGAAGACAAATTATTTTTATTGATTTGTTAAATTTTTACCTAAAAATTTTGATTTGATTTTTTATATTTTAAATTTTAGAAATATATTTATAGTCATTTTATGCATTTCTCAAACATTAAATATTAATTTATCTTGAATTTTTCTTTTCTTCTAAGACAGCATATGTAAGCAAAATTTGAAAAGGGGCCAAATCAATTTTGTATAAATTACCTCCAGTCTTTATATTTGTATTTAGGGAAATTTTGTACTGATTGTAAAAAAGTTTGACAAAAACCGACCAAGATATTTGACATTAAATTTGGAGATCATATTCAGGGGCCATACATGAATTGAAGAGCGAAATGCATGCGTTTATACATAACTGAAAATAAAATACTGGTTTAGAAAAAGGTTTCTGATGTTAAGATTAAGTGCTGGGCAGATTATTGTGATACATGTTCATCAGTAATGTTTTCAAAACACTGGCACTCTAGTTTTGGTATACAGCTAACAAATATCATTTTTTGAATTAATAAAAAATATTTGTAGTTTAATAAATTTTTAGTTACTAGATTATAACTCTAAAATAGGGATGGCCAACCCGTGGCAGGCATACGTGACTTATTGAAAAATTTAAATATTTGACATAATAATAATATTGCTTGTATCAACTCTGTCAATAGATACACAAACACATTTGAATAAGTATAAAAATTTAGTTTCTCTGCAAGGTGTCAATTTTTACCCAAATGAAATGAAAATTATTGACCTACAGCAGCATACTACACTAAAATATATGGAACTTATTTTAACTGAAATTGATCCAAATTATATTGAATTTTAGAAATTTGATTTAACAAGCAATTTTCCAAATTTACACAATCTGACTGTCAGATATTGTTCCAAGTTTTGGATCAACATGTTTGTGAACAACTGTGTTTTATTATGAACATAATAAAATCAAAATATTGAAATGTACCTAAAACACCTAATTTTGTAAGCATCTTCAAGAACTAACTAATCCTAATGTAGATGACTTCGTAAAAAAACATATTCAAAAACCACATTAATTAAGTAACGAATATTTAAAAGTATTTTTTTATTTTATACATAACCTAACTGACTGTACCTTTAGAAATGCTTATTAACAATAAAACCCTAGTTTGTACCTTTTTTATTATATTATTTTTTAAATGTCCACTGCTCAGACTTACATAAACAAAGGTGCTATTTGCATAAAAATCCCATAATCAGCCTATAAATAACATGTTTGGGTACTGTTCTGTTATCCGGATCAGGTCCAGAAATATATGTATGCAAGGATGGATGTGTTCATGTACGTGTATATATGTATGTACATATGTATCTGTGTGTGCACATACAAACATACACATGTGCATATATACATACACTTCTGAATCCAATCTTGATAACAGAACAATACCCACTTTTTTACATTTTTTTTATATGTTGGCAAAATTGGAAGTGGCACACATAACTATTTTTTCTTTTAGATAGCGGCACTCTTCCCAAAAAAGGATGGCTACCCCTCCTCTAAAAGAATAAAACTTCATTACAATATTAATAATGTATATTAATACTTTAAAACACATAAATTACTTGTATAAAATTTCTTTCAGCATATAAATGCAACAAAATTATAAATTAAAGATTGTAGTAAATCACAAAAGAATTCACTGAATGACATTTAAAAGGGGGGGGAACCTTGACTTATTTCAATTTATTTATTAACTAACCCCTTTAATGCAAATACAAAATGACATCAGTTAATTCTGAAATTAAATACATTGGTCAACTTTTGTCACATGAAATCAAACCTTTTGTGTTTTATTTTTTATAAAGAATACAGAATTTTCCTAAATAAGTATACAGATCAGAGAGATGTACAAAAAGTTAAGATTTCATATTTTATATAAAATTATTTTTTTTAAATTTAAAAATATGAAAAAATTAATCTACATCATTTAAAACATTTTTATCATTAGAAATAACTTGTTTGAGACCAAATTTTGCAAAAATAAAGGCAACATAAGGACTCTTGTGGACACTGTGTACATTTAAACAAACAAAAATTTAAAATAGTTGCAAAATTTTTAAAGATTTCATAATAAAATACCTGTTATTGGTGTTCTTTCCATCAGAAATTTTGAAACAGCTCTTTTGGGAGCATCTTTAGTGCTTTCACGTCCCCTAGAAATACATAAAGTATCATTATTAAATTGGCTATTTTCCTACAATAAATATATATATATATATATATTTTAAATTGACAGAATTGAAAATTCTTCCATAACAGATTTTTTTAGTCCAAAGGGCAATTTGCCCAGAAGGACTATTAATTTCGTTTTGCCATTCAGCGATTTTTTTGATTCACTGCAAGTATAGTTTCACTTTTCAAATTGTTGCCACCAAATATTATCACCCTGTATTATATTTAAATTAATTAAATAATGAAGTTCCATAAATGTATGTATGTTTCTCACATTGTCATAAAACAATGGTACCTAGAGCCATTGGATTTTGAATATTGTAATCCTCCTGCGAATATGGGCATCTGGAAGCCCAAATTTAAAATTTGTTTTATTATAGATTTCATATTTTGTAAAACTTTTAACAAGTTTTTGATTAACAAACTCAAGGATTTCATAACGAGCAATCGCAACATTGTACAGAAAAAAACATTTTTATCTCCAGCGCGCGAGACTGAATCCGAAATTCTAAAGATATGCTCATTTTAAAATTATTTTGCAATATTGCTGTTGAATTGAATTTTATGGTTTAAGTGCAAAGAACATGATATTTAATAAATTAAGGTAACACACAAAACGTTAAAAAAACGCCCCTTTGCATGTAATTTAAAATCTGAAACCTTTATTATTATTATTATTGTTGTTATAGTTCAAAAAAAATTTTTTTTTCAAACACCCTATATGATAAAATTAAGCAAACTGAAACTTGAACAGGCATAAATTTTAAAGGAAAAAATAGCAATTTGAAGTAAAATTTATTTAATTTCAGGCATGTTTCTTTTACATAACAGAGGAAGTCAACTCAATAATCTGTTAAGTGCTATATTGTTATTATGAAGTTTATGAACTGAATACTGTTAAATACATTTTCAATTATCACTGAAGCCAACAGAAATGCTCCATAGAGAGCAACATAAAAGAAAAAATCTGATGCGGACCCCATGACTCCTTGTGCAGAATATTAAATTATACGCCTTTTTTGTTGCATTTAATTTAAGCTTATTTCCTTGAATTTTACTAGAGATAAATTTCTCATTCAATTAATTCAGTTCTCACTTTATGGCAAAACAAAAATACATGAAACCTCAAAATATCTTCATTAAAAATTGAAAAATATATAAAAACATAAAACACTAAATACAGTTAAAACAATTTTTACAATTAAAATTAGAGTTTCTACACAAAAAGAAGGAATTCGGCCAGCAGGCATTTCGGTGCACAAAACTGAAAGTTTACTTTTGGTCCCATTCAGCAAAAAGACACTGAAGGTGCACAAACTGAGTTCACTATTCTGCCAAGTTTCAAATGTAAGCAAATATGGCTGCTGTGGGAAAAGCAAAATTAGGCTTAGCCGCACTTAAATAACTTTTAAGCTGTTGACAATTCTACAACTATTGTATGAAGATTAAATAAAGGCATGAAAACCTTAACTGGAAGATAAGAACAACATAATTCACTGATTTTATAATAAAAGATTATAAAGCAAATAATGCACAATTTACGAACATATAAAATTTAAAAAAAAAAAAAAAAAAAAAAAAAAAAAAAAAAAAAACTGAGCTCACTGAGCTGAGTAACAGAGTAGGTGTATATGTATATATATATATAATAATAATAATAATTAGAATTTAAAAAAATTTTAAACAGGGCTGCCACTCAAACAGGAGAATGAAATTCCCTGACTTTTCCAGGTATATTTTAAGAAAATTCCAGTTTATCCGCGTAATGCATTTTGGCTGTGCTAAGAAGAAAATTATGGTATTACTTGAAAACACAATTTGCCATAATGACTTATATATATAATTAATCCCCAAAGGATTACTATTTTAACTATAAAAGTTGTTTTCTCCACTGAAGATTGAGATTAGAATCTGCTTAATCTGGATTTTAAAAAATCATTTTTTGCAGACATTTTGCAGCTAAACGAAAGAAATATATTTAATGATATTTTTAAATAAATTCAGATATTTTACATTATTTAGCAGCATACATAAGCAAATATGTGCATTGAAATTTCGTGATGGTATGCTACTACTGCTAGAATTAATTTCAAGATTATGCCAGAGAAATTTCCTGAAATTTGAAAGTTATTATTTACTAATATTAACCAAATTTAGAGGGAAGAAGCAACATTAAATGATCCGAATAATATAAAAATAAGATAATTAAAAATTGAATTAGAATAATCAATGATATTTTAATATAGTTAGATTATATAGAATTTTAGATTATTTAATTTAACATTTATTAGCAGCATACATAAGCAAAAAATAAAATTTCGTGATGGTATGCTACTACTGCTAGAATTAATTTCAAGATTATGCCAGAGAAAATTTCCTGAAATTTGAAAGTATTATTTACTAATATTAAACAAATTTAGAGGGAAGAAGCAACATTAAATGATCCGAATAATATAAAAATAAAGATAATTAAAAATTGAATTAGAATAATCAATGATATTTTAGCGAATATAGTTAGTTATATTTAATGGTTAGCCTAGATTAGTATTTTTTTATTTTATTAGAAAATGACAAATAAGGCAATTATTAAAAAGGTTTAAAAGATTTTGTGGTAAAATCTTAATATACGGTAAGGCCTTGGCACAATTTTGAAAATTGTCGCCAACACCAAAATAACACGTTTACTGCTCATCGTAATGTTGCCAAATCCCGTGAGTACCGTACATGGAAGTTAAAACAGAATAAATACATGGAAACAAAAAACCTAACCAAAGAACATCTGTGTAAAGAAGGAAAAGTTCCATAGATGTAATGCTATTTATTATACGCCACTAGAAAGCGGAGGAAAAATTCACCAAGGGATTTGGTGACGGAATCTGGTGGCCAGAATTTCCCCCTTCGCGATGTGTACAGGAAATTGAGGAACACGTGTTAAGAAGAAACATTCTGACTAAACATTTCTTTTTTGATATTTTGCAATTATTTAAACACGGATTTTCATAGTTTTTTCTCAAAATAACTAATCCATTAATTAATTTACTTGCGTGAAAAAATATTTTCTTTTGTTTTAATGTTTAAAAGAAATTTTAAACGATATTCATTTTATGAACTCTTGATAACGTGACCTTTGAATTTCGTTAGAAAGTCCTCCACGAAGGCATCCCTCCTCTTAGGCAGATAGCCCTAGTGTGCTTTGCCATAATTAAATACACCATACACCACACCTTTGAACTTCGACACCGGCTTCGAGCTTTGGCGACAGATATTTCGCGTATATGCAGCTGTTTCCCTCTACGTTGGAACGGAGCCACTTCTGTTGCAGAGAAATCTTCCTTCTTAAAAATACATATTCTTTGATTTTAACTCCCATTGTACCGTATATTAGTATTGAACCGATTTTGTTTTATACGAGAATAAGTATTTTGTTTAGTTCAACATGCGCATGCGATTCTCGAGGTTACTGGAAACTTGCTTTGCCTTTCTAAAAGACAATCTAAAGGGAGCTGCGAAAATTGGCTCTATGCCAGCTGCCCGAACGATGCTCACGCGATACACAATTCGCCAATAAAGTGATTGTTTCCAACGTCAGCACAAAACTCACCTTTTTGGGAGGGGATCGCCTGACTTTTCCAGATTTTGACTAAAATATTTAAATTCCCTGACTTTTCCCTGAATTTTTTGGTCAATTTTCGAATTCCCTGACTTTTTCTGGTTTTCCAGGTAGCGTGGCAACCCTGTTTAAACCCGTTCTGCGCTATAGCTGCAAGATTGAAGTAGAATAAACTTAAAGCATCTAAATTTATTATTAACTCTTTGCGGTCAGACTAAATTTGGAGATGGGTATTGTACTGGTCGGAATTAATTTCCGTCGATAGAGCAGGGATACATAACACGCAAGTTTACGATGGATAAACAAGATTTAGTAAATCTTTTGTGAACTTTAGATATATCTTTATTCAATACACTAATCTAGTGATATGTTTAACATAAAATGTGGCATAGATGTCCTGTTCTCTCTTCTAGCTGAATTTTGGGGAATTATTTTGGAATATTTTAAGAAGAGAGAATGTCTAATTACTGTTAAATACAATTTATAAAATATTCTCTGGATTTCTACAAGGTATCATCGAACGTTGTCGAATTCATTACGTTCAAAAGACGACTGACTCGCCACTGCGTCTTGCATGGCGAGCGCTGGGTCACAACTTTTGTTTAAATTAGATTACGTCATCTCCAATCGATGGAGCACTGTGTTGGTTCATGAATAGGTTCTTTAGGCATTGAGGTTCATATAGGAAAAGTGTAAACTGATACATCAATGCACACGGTATACGATTCGTATAGTTCTTTGCTGTAGTGGCTGAGAGCAGACATACGACCGGAACGGTAAAAAGGCTTTGGTGGCGGAGAGTGGACATACAACCGCAAAGGTTAAATTGGGATAAGAGTAAGACAATTCCTGTGTAATACAATATGTGCAAACATGTATAAGAGGTTTAACACAATATCAAAACAAATCCAATTAAAGAAAGAATACATAGTAGAACAAACTCGAAAAATAAAAATGCGAAAGAGAAAATATACAAATAAAAATTAATCTCCTTTCATTGAAACTCAAATTCAGAACTCATCAGCATACCTGCCAACCTCTAAAGATAAAAAATCAGAAGATTTCTCCAAAATTCAAAAGAACACGAAGAATTAATATCAAACTTTGATATTAAAAAATAACAATTTATACGAATAGAAAAAAGAAAATTGTACTTACATTAGTAAATCTCAATTAAGTAGTAACTAAAAAATTTATTAGGAAACATAAAACAAGAACTTAATATTACACAAAAATATTATTGCAATGAATTTAGAGTGCATTTTTTGGCTTTAGCCAAAAATTCTTTGGAAAATTTCCTGTCATTTTCTTTAATTGTTAACAAAAATGGAAATTTATCAATAAAAAAAAAGAATCTTTTCAAAAGATGAATTTTCAAATTTGCCACTTCAGCATTTAAAAGAACTTCATTTTGCAAAGGAAACTTCCTTACAATGTAATCACAGGCTGAGGAAAAGTACTTTCTAACACATTGAAAAAATTCTTTTTTTTTCTCATGATCTTTTTCAAAGAATTTACAAGTTCCCTGGTTTGATTTCCAATTATAAGATCATTGTCATCCTTTTGATTTGCCAAACTATTATAAGCAACACGAATCAACACACAGTTTTTCACAACTGATGGTTTTTACAAAACTTAGTATAAAGTTCTTTCAAAAGATCATTAAGAATTTGGATAAGCAGGGGAGATTTTGGCAAAGCTGATTGTAGAAGGGTATTTACACTTTCAAAAATCTTAATGGTACTTAACACAAAACTACATATGCTTTGTTCAAATCCGAAGAAAGAAGATAGAAAACCCTTTTCCTCCCGGCTAATAGAAGACTGTTTCTTCTTCCCTTCAACTTCTTTAACAAAGTTGACCTTTGAGGAGTTTTCTAAGCATTTTCTTTTTAAAGGGTTTGATTCTGTGTGTTGGCTTTTTCCTTTTAAAGCATTTTGATTAGAAGCAAAGTTGGTTTTCGATTCTTATATGCCGACAAATTTGATGGGATGTGTGGTTTTGTTTTGGTCTCTTCGTGGAAATATTTTAGCAATGCATCCCACTGTTCAATAAACCTTCTTAGCATCTCGTGCATACATGTTTCAGAATTTTTCTCATTTCACCAGAGCACAGTTCTTGGAAATTCTTTAGGTTTTCTTTCCAGATAGAAAAACACATCAATCAGAAGCTGGTCAATTTTTAATGGTAAAGCAGCTGCAGCTTTTTCTGCTGCCAAATTAATTAAGTGGCATGGGCATCCAATAACAATTAATTCATTTTGTTCTTTTTTGAGGACAGAGGACAGGCCTTTTTGTTACCCACTATGACATGAGCATTATCTGCACCAAATGAAATGCAGTTTGATATTGGGATGTTAAGTTGTTTCAACTCATTAATTACCAAGGAGGCAATATTTTCCCCCGTAGCATCTCCATTTAACAATGGTAGACGCAAAAGATGAGTTTTCATTTCATTAGAAACATCACAGAAATATGTGACAACGATGGGGTAAAGCTTCCAATCGCTGTCGTTGCTGCCATCGATTGACAGCGAAAATGCTGAATTCTGGAGTGCAGCTATCATTTTACTTTGTGCATCGCAAGCAATTTCGTTCACAATAGAAGATGTTTTCGTGCGAGCAGAAGCATATTTCTGAGCAATCTTGGAGTCGGGAAACATCCGTCTGAAAAGTTGACCGGCGTGATCGGCAGCGCTTAGCGGCACGTTTGTGTCGATGAGGAATGCAGTAAACAAACACTCTGCCAAAATGACATCGGCCTCCATCCGAATTCATAGCCGAATTTGAAAAAAAAATCATCCATTTTCTTTGACGTTGTCGAAGCCGAAGCATTAAATTCATGCTTTTTTAGACTTAACATGCTTCACAATGTCGCTTCTTCCTTCCACCGTGACTTATTATGAAGTCACACACGCACACGTTGCAAAATGCATAGTTATTTCCTTTGAAGGATTCTTTAATTGTTGGAAATTCGGCTTTGTAGGCAGGCCGAAAATATTGAGAATACGGTTTTTTTGAACTCATTTCGTAACAATGACGTATTAAGAAAATTTGTAGCACGTGCAAACAAACAAAAAAAAAAAAAAAAAAAACCAATGCGACAATCCACGCTTGCTGAGTCCGAGTTAAATAATTCCCTTGCTGCTGAAGCGAACGCAAAAAAAATAATCTGGCACCCACAAAGAAAAGAGTGGGAGAAACAAGTTCAGTGCATTGGATTGGTGGTTAAGTCGCGAGTTGGGAGAAACCGCAGGTTACTGGATTCGAAGTAGTCGGTAGTTGGCGGTAAAACACGATGCAATTGGCAAAAATCGCTGAATTGGCGAAAAATTCTAAAATTTTGACAAAAATCACTAAAAACACTTGAAAAAGGAAAACGATCGTAAAATCGTAAAGACAAACGCATTTTCGTAAAAATTACGAAAAATTCATAAAAGTTGGCAGGTATGCATCAGGGGAAAATGAATTAAAGCTTCATAAGCTTGTGGTGCACCGACTGCAACCAAAAAGGGGAGGTGCACAACTACATGTTATAACAATCCTATATAAAATATTTCAGTGTTCTGAGACTACTTGTTTTCGAATTATGCAAGATACATACATGTTCGTATAAACGACACAGGAAAAATATCTTTTGAATCCATTTTAAGTCACTTTTATGATTCGATTTTGGAAAAAAGAGACCTTTACTCTAGCCTTACGTACAGATGTCATGGAAAAACATCATTATATTAAATTCAATAGCGTTCAAAATGGATATATTCATTGAAATATTATACCCGAATTTTTTTGAGATTATAATACTTTAATGAATTTACCAAATTTTTTTCTTTACTTGAAATTTATTAAATATTAACTGGTAAAAATATACAGCAGAAAAAAATTCAAATCTAGGAAGTATCTAAAGTATATTTAAAGGATTTCATATACTTGGCACTCTTTTTAGCTCATGGTAAGGCTACAAATATGGTTTTTATGTACTATTAGACACAGGTTAAAAAAAAAGGTTTTCCTTAAATATTTGCACTTTTTAATGTAATAATAATAATGTTAATATTTCTTGTTAAAAAGTATTCATTCATGAACAATTAAGTTTGTTTAAATTTTTTCAATATCAAAATAACAAATTTATTAATAAAAGTGTTTCTTAAGAATTTAAACCTTGATTCAGGATTTTAAAAATTATATAATAATCATTACACATAAAAAGGCAAAAATATGTTGAAATGGGCAAAACTTCATAATCAGATATTTACAATTAAAATACTCTAAGAACAGAACCTAAAATCAAACTATCACACTAAAGATTACATTTTTTTTAATAAAGTAAAATGTTTCAGATTCCATTTTAATCTACATACCTTGATCCCGATCTACTTCTTCGGCTCCTTGGTGGTGACCATGAACGAGATCTCGACCTTCTGCGCATAGGCGATCTATGAAACAAATATTAACTTGGAATAACAAAGTTCTTTAACTTGGTTAATTTGAATAACTATATAAGTAACAAATCAGTAATTACTGAAAATCTGAAAGCATACCTGCTTCTTCGACGTCGAGGTGATGGAGATCTGGACCTACTACGATATCGACCTATAATATGAAAGATTATTTATATAGATTTATTATATTTACATTATACAAAGGTATCTCGGTATACGTCATTAATTAGATCCAGATCCTTGGAAATATACCAAACAAACTTTTGCAATAAGAAATAAAAGGAAAATAATTAATCGTTGAAAAAAGTCCTATTATTATTATAACAAAGTTCAATATGAAGATATAAATGGAGTGAGTGACATATATACTGTATATAAAAGAAACACTGCACATGACACGTAGATAAATATTTTTTCTGCCATCCAAATCAAAAGCAATTTTTCAACATGCTCTAACGTCTGATATTTGTTAATCAATTTCACCCTTTTTGCATCATTAGCCGATTTAAAAGTGTCTTTGTTTTTCACAATGATAGACACAATCATATTCAGCCTAACAATACCATGTCACAGATATGCATTCCATCTTTGTACTTTTCAATATCTTTTTTCACCTCCATGATGATCCTCACAATTTTCTTCATTGCTTTAACTCTTCTCGTTAACTTTCCTAAATCTCACTGTTAATAAATTTACAAAATATGTATGTGAAAACAATTACTTGAAAATTCATAGTTAGTTAGCACAGGTTCTTTAATGAACAGTAGCAATAGGTATACTAACACTCACAGCAATCACAGCATTGTCTCAAAAGAGGCAAACAAGTGTAGTGTGTGCAGTTTAGATTCCCAGAACTCGAGTCATGTTGCAAACAATAAGACAAAATCAGAAAAACAATTTCATGTCCAAACAAGATATATACCAAGTTTGAATTATTTTACATTGGATATGTAAAAGGTAATTTGTGTATTAAAATCTATTATAGACTAAAGAGGAAAATAATTCCTGAGCAAAGTAATAAATTAATATCTTTCGTAACTGTGGCAAAATTTGTGATTGTAATATACAGGAATAGGTTAAACTGAAGGGTATCCCTTGTATTATCGTAAAGTTGTTGTTTCGTTTATGGTAACCCGAATAGTTGAATGTTTCCTAAATATATTTTTACCTAGAATTGGCTGCTCATTTGACTTTTTAAGTGAAAATATATCAACGTGTACATTGACAAAGTCAAGGGAAGGCACAATTCGAAGTTTGTGCAATTCTGTTTTTTTTTTTTTTTTTTTTTTTTTTTTTTTTAGGTGAAAATAGGTCAATGTATACATGGATACCGAGTTTGTGCAATTCTTTGACTTGTTATTTTGTCTTTGTGTAGTGGAGATTATTGCTAAAAATCGCCTCTGCACAAAGACAAAATAACAAGTCAAAGAATTGCACAAACTCAGTATCCATGTACCACCAAAAATCACCAATTTTCACCAAGGGGTACCCATAAATATACTTTTACCCAAGAATATATAGTATAATAAATATTTATAACTTAAAGCCAAGGTCATTTCTAGCTCATTATCCTATTATAATATGAATAACATTCACCTGCAGTTTGTAAACAAAAATTTCCTTTTCAAACAAAAGAATGTCATACTTTAATTTAAAAATTAAAAGCTTATTGCTTATTAGAGTATATATGAATAGTACAACTGCTAGATTCAACAAAACAAAAAAACAAAAAAAAAAAAAAAAAACATAAAACTGCATCGAGATTTAAAACTAATATAAAAAAGAAATGTATGTATTATCCCATCAACCACTGGCGGAAATTTTGGCAACCATTGCCAATCACTACTGCAGAATTCTAAAGGATATGATCATCCATAATCGGTGCCAAATCATGCTACTTGGCTGGTCGACAGGATAATACATAAGTACCAAATTCTTTTCCAAAAGCTAATGAGATTACACATACTGTTTTATTTTTTTTAATTACATAAAATTCTTTAAAGCATAGCAAATATATGTTTTGAATTCTATTGCATATACACAATGTCGAATATACAAGGTGTCCATAATTGAACTTGAAATTCGCAAGCAATCTGTAGCAAAAACTATGCAGCAGAATTGCATGAAACAAGGTTAACTCCTTCATGTCGAGAGAGGGCAAAATCTCTTTTCCCCAAACATTGAAACCGCCCATGTCTAAGAATTTCTCCTGGAATGCTTTTCCTTCTCCCATGACAAATTGAATACTATTGCGCTAACAATAAAGTAAAGCGAGAACTTCTTTCTTGGACCTTTCACCCTGTGTGAAGTTCCCCCTTGGGACGGGATTGCAACTTCGGGCATCAAAAGCTAAATACTGATAGTAAACAAAGGAAAGAGAAGGTGCATTAAAATAATAGAACTACTTTTAGTAGCTTCAAAAGAATGATTGACATGACATTTAACAACACCTGAAAGCAATGAGTAATGCACTAACGTGATGGGGGGAAAGCACTAGGTAGGAAATTATTCAGGCGTTTCAGGTGTACAGCCGATGACCAAATCCTCGGGCATTTGGGGAGACTTCGATGCGAAAGAGTTGGCAGAATGAAATACGGGAATTTTATTGAGAGAAAAAACAATGAGTTTCAAAAACCACCACTAGATGGCGTTGTGCAACGTAAACTATTGGCACATGCAAATGTCGTAACCCTGTGCACGCACAGCAGCCTATAAAGATGTGAGAGTTGAACTGCAGTCATACTCACTTCCAAGTCAAGGAAGATGATGTTGACTCTCCAGGAACGTGCTTTATTGGTGAAATTGTTTTACCAAAACAAAGACTGCTAACAAAGCTTTGCGGACATTTCGGTCTTTGAAGCAGTTACAAAAAGGTCCACTCACTAGTCAAGGACTAACAAGCATGATTAGGAAATTTGAAGTGACGGGAACATTGGGGATTCAGCCAAGAAGGAGACGAAAGTGTGTTGCAGCACAGGTAGTGGGAGATGTAGCGACGCAAGCAGAGGAAGACAGATCGCAAACCATCAGCAGTTCGGCATATTGTAGCATCTGTTGACCAACCACATTCCACGGTTCATAAGATTCTTCAAAAGGTCTTGCACTACTATCCCTATAAACTATCGTAGTGCAGCAGCTCTTACCAGCTGATATGTATAGTTGAACTTTTGTGTTACGTTTTCTTGTGCGAGTTGAGCTCCAGTATGAATGGTCATGAAAACTTTTTTGAACCAACGAAGCCCACTTTCACATGGAAGGTGCGGTTAACATGTATAGTTGCCATATTTGGGCTGCTACAAACCCACATCAATTCCTACAAATTCCATTATACTGTTTGCGTGTAACGGTTTGGTGCACCTTTACTGCAACCTTCATTGTGGGTCTGTTTTTTTTTTCGAAGAGCACAGTGCTGCAGGGCCTGTGACGTGCACTGTCACCGGTCAATGATACGCTCCATTATTATATTATGGCTCTTCAGACAAAGCGATGTGATACAACCACAGTGTTTATGAAGGACAGGGCTCTTCCACCATTTCGGTGACAACAGAATCATCAGCCAGCAACATCCTACAGCTTGACCTCCTAGATCCCACGACTTGAATCCTTGCGACTTTTGGCTGTGGGCCATATTCTACCATGATCCCATAACATCTCTATCCGACCTTAAAGAAAGCATAGAACGCCATGTGCATAACATTTTCCAGTTCATGCTGCTTTCAACAGTTGAACATGCGATTTTACGTTTCCAGATGGTAGCAGACAATGGTGGACATCATATCGAGCATGTTTTGTAAATTTTTGTAGATTATTTACATGCTCTCAATAAAGCTATGATATGCCACCTAGGGGTGGTTTTTGAAACCCATTTTTTTCCCTCGATAAAATTCCCATCATTTCATTCTGCCATTACCCAATTTTTATGCAATTTTCGCTGTATAATTTTTGCTACAAATTTCAAGTTTAATTATAGATACCCTGTATAACTAAATACGTTCACCCTTATCCTTTCTTCATCACAGTTCACCACTTCCCACTTCATGAAAGTTCATTACTTTCTTCATCACAGATGAGCAATGGTCATCAGTACTGTTCGTTTTTGTTGTATTGCATTCCTTATTTTTTATTCTGTAAGGAATTATAATTGACCCCAGCCAGCTGATGCAGCAGCATAAGCCAGCTGTTGACAAAGATAGCATCCCTTTCTTCAGAAATATGGCATTTTGCCTAACAGTAGAAAACAAAAAAATTACTTCATAAATGATCAGTTTTACGTATAAAAATTTGCATGCCGATGCTGAATTCTCTGATGATATTTAAGCGACAATAAGTCACTGTGTACATGGGTAAACAACAGTGGGAACTGTGTCAAACTAATTTTTTTTTAAAAGTAAAAACATATTGCTGTGTCAATGGGGAGAATGACAATGGCAAATTCTTTCATGATGCTGAGTCTCTGCAATTCTCTGATATTTTTGAAAGTTAAAACAGATCACTATGTACATGGGAAGCATAATTTTAAAAAAGGGGGGAGGGTGTAAGATTAAAAAAATGGATAGAACAGCCAAGTATGCGAATTTCACCAAATGTGGACTTTTTCGCAGAAGCACAGTATAAGAACTTCGCCAAAATCGGCAGTTGAGAAAGGAGAGGTGTGGAAGTGTCTGCGTGAACTGGCATATTCTGCCGATGTTCTATGTAAATTTACTTATTAGTCCAAAGGGGCTTTGTCCCTGAAGGACTATTGTTTTCGTTTTGTGTTGAATCACTCTTAATGTCCGTTTCACTTTTTAAACTGTTGCCACACAATATTATCACCCTATATTATATTTGAAGGAATTAAATAATGAAATATCTGCTCAAATGTGTGTATATTTCTCATATTGGGATAAAATAACAGTACTTAGAGCCATCCAATTTTGAATGACGTAATCCTACTGCAAATATGGACATCTGGTAGCCCGAATTTGAAATTTGGTTTATTATTGATTTCATACTTTGTAAAATGTTAATGAATTTTTGATTAACAAACTCAAGGATTTAAAAGCGAGCAATGGCAATAATCTACGGGGGGTGGGGACCTTTTTATCTCCAACGTGCGAGTCTCTGTATCAGAAATTATTTTGCGACATTGCTGTTGAACTGAATTTTATGGTTTAAGTGGAAACAAAAAGTATGATACTTAATAAATAAAAGTAACACACAAAATGTTAAAAAAACACCCTTTTGGACGTAATTTAAAATCTAAAAACTTTCAGTTTTTTTTTTTTTTTTTTTTTTTTTTTTTTTTTTTTTTTTTTTTTGTAATTATTATTATTTATTTATTTGTAAGTGTAAAATAAAATCACGTTATCGTGAAGCTGGTGTCTTCGCAACCATTTATCACGAATTATCAAGTTTTTCTAGGTAATGGAATATGCAGTTTACAAATGTAGTTGTAAAGTTGAGTTTCATTAATATTGTGATAAATTATAGATATTACTTCTGATTATTTCTGAAATTAATTAAAATAATCTAGTTATTCTTATTATTTCTGAGAATGTTTTACGGTGGTTTCTTCTAAAGTAAAATATATGAGTTATTGTCATTTGGTGTGGATAAGTAATAATTGTATGAATTCTAAATGTGAAAACTGATATTTTTAGTTCAGTGTTGGATAATTTGAAATATTGTTTAAATCTGCCATTATTTATTTATTTAGAATTATTGATGATTATAGTAGTATTATTAAGTATTTAATTGTATAAATGAAATATTGTCATGGTAGAACTGAAATATTAACTAAAAGGTTTGTAAAGATAACAGTGTTGTAAAGGATAGCATTTTTTCAAGACAGTAGATAAGTTAAAACCTTTTTAATACATTTTAGTATATGATTGTGTTTTATTATAAGTTGGTGAAACGATTAATGAAAATAATGTTCAATGTCTGGCACAAAACAGTTTAAAAACCAGTCTTTAAATTAAATCCAGTTAATCAAACTCTTCCAATTTCCAGTAATCAAATATACCAGTAAGGTGTTTTTATTTACGGATATAAAGATCTATAAACTAATAAGGGTTTTGTCTCCCTTATTATGTGTTAGATGACTATGTCTCCCTTATTATGTGTTAAATGGCTTAGGCAATTTTCTTATCGTGTTAGAGCGAAATCGTATTCTAGGAAAACCGTATTACAAGAGAGTTCACGCAATTTATGAATCGTGTTATAGTGAAACCATGTTATAGGATGCCATGTCATAGAAGGGCTACCTATATAAGTATTGTGTATGTAAAGGTATATCTGATTAGTATACTTCAAATTAATGGCACATTTAAGATAGGACTTTGTGTGTGTGTGCAGGGATACAATGAAACGGGTAAGTTGAAACATGTACAATGAACAGGTATAGTGACAATGATATAATCTTACTATAATTTAGAGATACATAAACAATGAACTTAGATTTTGAACTCTGCGTATAATCTCTAAAGAGACATATACGCTTCCCAAGGAAAGACGTGCAAGATTAAAAAAACTGATAGAACCGCCAAGTATGTGAAATTCGCCAAATGTGGACTTTGACACAGAAGCACAGTAAAAGAACTTCGCTGAAATTGGCAGTTGAGAAAGGAGAGAAGTGGAAGTGTGTGTGTGAACCGCAATATTCTACCGATGTTCTATGCAAATTTACTTATTGTATTTTTTATTTGTGTGTGTACAATAAAATCACATTATCGTGAAGCTGGTGTCTTCATTCTCATTCGTGAAGCTGGTGTCCACATTTGGTGTCTTCTTCATTGTCAAAGACCGACCATTTATCACGAATTATCAAGTTTTTCTAGGTAATGGAATATGCAGTTTAAAAACGAAAGTTGAGTTTCATTCTTCAAGTGGAAAGTGTTATGATTTGAAGAATTTTAGAAGTGTCCTTATGTTAAGTTCATCTTTTACGAGGATAAATTAAAAAGGGTAAACTTTACTATGGGTGAGTGTTTTATATGTTTTTTTTTTTTTTTTTTTTTTTTTTTTTTTTTTGCATTTTTCAGCTTGGTTGATCGATTGGAGCTTTACGTAATTTTTAAGTGTGCTGCCACTTTGGAAAATGGCTGCTGTCTTTCACATTTTAGCTTGAGGAAGAAGTAGTTGTTATCATTCAGGAATGGGGTATAGATAATCAGAAAATAAAAAATTTTTCTGAAGTAAAATATTTTTGCATTCCTGAATTCTATACTAATCCTTCAGACACACACACACACACTTAATACTGACAACATATTTGGTTTATTAACATTTAAACCACATCCAAAACTTTCTGAATAATTTTATGTAATTTGGCTTACATAATGTTAGTCAGTAAACATAAATGGAGTTTAATGGCAAACTGCCATTCATCAAACACTAACTTCATATGAAATATGTACATATTACGGTTAATGCAAATAACCCCTTACTCGTTGCACCGTATCTCATACGAGCAACCAATACAAATAAATTTTGTTATGCCTGTGTCTCATATGGGCTCTGCTTTTGCAATAAAAAGTCAAGGGAATACCAATTTTTATCGCACCCGTATCAATTCTATTTACACAGATGGCAGCACAGTGCTTGTAAGTTGATTAGACAATAGAAGTATGTAGAATTAGAATATTTTTTCCGTTAGAACATATTTTGAAACGATCCAGTGTCAGTGCTCATTGCTTTTTTGTGTTTAATGTTTGTAAAATAAGTAGTTCAAGTGAACAAGCGGATTTAAGTCTTGAAGAATTGGGAAGTGATTCAGATGGCAGCTTTTTTTCAGATGCTTTTGATTTTGAAGATAGTGACAATAGTGATGATCCTGCACAACTTTTACTAGGGCGCCAATGGAATCAAATTATGTCGGATGTCCCAGATATTTGTCCTCCACATTTACAGTTCAAATTATTGCCTAAAGTTAGTATTTCATTTGCAGCCAGTGCAGGTGTTTTACAATATTATGAGCATTTTATAAATGATGAAATAGTGGATATAATTGTAAAAGAGACTAATCATTATGCTGAGCAATCAGGTAATGTTGTTGGGAAAAGGAAACTGAAAGGTAGAAGGGAATGGAAACATGTATCAGCACATGAAATGCATTTGTTCCTTGCGCTTTCAGTTTTACAAGGTATTTTTAAAAAATCCTGAAGAAAGCATGTTTGAACTAAGAAAACATCAGTAGAAACTCCTTTTTTCCGTAAGACTATGTCATATAATAGATACTGTGAAATTTAAAAATACTTGTATTTTATGAACAATGATTTTTATGATCCAGAAAATCATCCTAATCTGATTCTTAATTTTTCCTTGTTAATATATTTATATTCAACAGATCACAATTATAAAAATAACCTAATTTACATAAATAAATTACACTTTTTCTTCCCTCAACACAAGTTTCATACTCATGAATTATAGGATTGCATAAAATTATTTTAATCTTACCTCTTGCTCTGCGTTCATGTTCCCGTTCTCTTTCTCGAGATCTACTTCTGTGCCTTTCTGTAAATGAAAAAATTATGTATGAAAACAACATGTAAATAAAAGTATAAAATAGTCTATGTACATAGCAATTTAAACTCAATAAAAATGTGTGGTTTGCCTATATTTTAGTGTGCCCCTTGGATTATCGCCAAGTTGTTTCATTTATGGTAACAACTTGGTAGTTAAATGTTATAGAAACCCTATTATGACATGATTGCAGTGAACTTGACTGATGGGAAAATATTTGTTGGATGCCAGTTAGGAAGTATGTCACTTATTGTGTGCTTCGCATCGTAAAATGGCTGTTGGTGGTAAAGTGGGTGTTTGGTGGTATAGAACGAGAGAGCGGAAGGTGGTTTTTGTTGAAGCAATTGAGGACAGAAGAAAAGAAACTTTGTTGGATGTGATTCAACAGAATTATAAGCGTCTTGTTTGTACGAAGGAAAATGCATATGGTCGAACACAAAGGCCATTCAGATGGCTTTGAATGGGTTTGTCACATAAAGGTTCAAATGGTCAACGCATAAAGTGTTCCATTAGAAAGGGAACATGGTTTGAGGAAAGTTTTTGGATGCTGTTGAGGAATTTTGTGTATTACTGTTAGCATAAATTTAGGTATTTTTCAGAATGAAACTCGAAAGGCATACGAAACGAACGTGCGCCAAGGTATATATTGGCGAGAGAAAGTAAAGCTCGTTTGCAATGCAGTATATTTGATTTTCACCCTAGGTACTTGTATCTGACCAAAGGTCTAATCCAGTAGTACTTTCTTCTCTTTCAGGTACGATGGCAAAGTATATTCCTGTTTTATTTTTCTTATTGCCTTATATAGGTAAGCCTGATGATATTTAGTACTGATGATGATTCTATGTAAGTTATTCTTTTGAATACTTCAATTTTAATGTCTGTGAAGATTATTACTTTATTGTTATGCTTAAGTTAAGCAGAATTATCCTATTTTATTAAATAAAAGATTTCGTAGTTAAAATTTTTGACTTATGATTCTTTAATTCTGTGCTTGAGGAAAAGTACTCATTACGCCTTCAGTGCTAATGCACAACCAACAAAAGATTATGAGACTGAGAAATTGAAATTTTGTAATGTTGTAAGATTCCAGGGGCATAAAGTGTTAAAACTCTTTGTTGAAAATACTAGTTACAAAGTTTAAAAGAATAATTGTAACAAGTAATAATGTCTATTCTAAAAGAATCAATTTGTATAGAAAAAATAACAAAACTTAAAGAAAATAAGTATTTTAAAAGTATTGAAACTGAAAATTCGCAGATTCAGTTTAATCAAGTTCTAAAAGTGGAAAATAAACATGAAAACACGCAAACGCAAGAATGGGTTATCGACTCGGGAGCCTCAACTCATATGACGAGTAATAAGAATTTTTTCTCTCAGTTAAATGACTCTAATAAACAAATAGTAACTGTAGCCAATGGTGCTAAATTAAATTCTTATGGTATTGGTGAAGGTTATTTTAAAGCTCAAAACTTAAAGAGTCAGGTTACACAAATAAAATTGGAAAATGTATTGTATGTACCAGGTTTAGATAGTAATTTACTTTCTGTTCAATCTGTTACCAATAAAGGTTGCATTGTTACATTTGATAGTAATAAGTGTTACATAAAGCGTAACAATATACTCGTAGCCGACGGCAACGCTCAGCAAGGTTTATATAAATTGATCGTAAACCCAATTGATGAGAAATCATACTTAGCTAATAATGTTTCATGTTCAAATATGAACTGTATACTAAAATGGCATCAAAGATTAGGCCACAGAAATATAGATGCCATAAAAACACTTGAGAAAAATGATTTGGCAGACGGCATTAAACTTGGCAAATGCACTCATAGTGTGGAATGTTCTACTTGTGTAAAAGCGAAACTAACTGAAACAATCCTTATCCCCAAAACTAGGATTTAGATCTTAAAAATCCACTGGATTTAGTGCACACGGATATGTGTGGGCCAATTGAAGTCAACAGCTTAGGAGGGAAAAGATATTTCGTAACTTTCATTGATGACTATTCGCGTTATACTCAAATTTATTTTATTACTTCAAAAGATGAAGTATTCCACAAACTTAAACAGTATGTTGCAGCGACAACAAATAAATTTAGAAAGAAAATAAAGGTTCTCAGATCCGACAACGGTACAGAATACTGTAACGAAAGTACTGAAAATTATTTAAAGAAACTCGGCATTTTTCACAAAACTTCGGTTCCTTATTGTCCGGCACAGAACGGCGTCGCAGAAAGGAAAATCGCTCTTTAATAGAAATGACAAAAGCTATGCTAATAAACTCTAAATTACCGAAAGGATTCTGGGCTGAAGCAGCAGCTACTGCTGCATATCTTCAAAATAGGTTACCAACTAAAGCCACAGATAGAACACCATATGAATTATGGAATGGTAGAAAACCAAACTTAAGTCACTTACGAGGATTTGGCTGTACAGCATTTTATTATGTGAACAAACAAAAATGGCGTAAATTCGACAACAGAGCTGAAGAAGGAATATTCGTAGGATACGATTTACGAAGTAAGGGATACAGGATTTATGTAGGTGGAAGGAATATAATAGTAAGTAGAACTGTTAAATTTTCAGAAAACGCGTCTTTATCTGACAAGCATGCAGAAAATAATGCTAAAGATTTAGAATTAATTCACTTCAATAACTCGCAAGATGATAAAGAAAATAATGAAGAAACATCTCTTGGCGATGATTTTACAGAAGATTCAAAAAGTTTCGAAGAGTTAATTAAATGTGAAGAAAATGTAGAAAGAAGGGTTTCTAGCATATCAACCAAAGGGGTCCCACCGGAAAGATTCTCTTATAAAGCAGAAGACGAAGAATCAATCTTACTTGAAATTAAAGATCCAGAAAGCCTTGAAGAAATTTTAAACGTACCAAAACGTGAACAAGAAGCTTGGATTAAGGCTATGCAAGAAGAAATACATTCTCTAAAAGAAAATGAAACCTATAAACTTACAGAATTACCACCAGGAAAACATGCAGTAGGCAGCAAATGGGTGTTTAAGACAAAATATGATGAAACTGGTAAAAATATAAAATACAAAGCACGCTTAGTAGCCAAAGGATTTACTCAAAAGTACGTCAGTGATTATGATGAAACTTTTTCACCAGTAGTGAAACACACTATGATAAGAGTTTTCTTAGCATGGGCAGCGTATAATAATGCCAAGGTACATCAACTAGATGTTAAAACAGCTTTTTTGAACGGCAATTTAAATGAAGAAATATATATGGAACAACCAGAAGGATTCGTGGTTCCGGAAGAAAGACATAAAGTTTGTAAATTACAGAAGTCGATTTATGGTCTCAAACAAGCAGCTAGGTGCTGGAATGCAGAAATTGAAAATACACTGAAGAATCTGGGGTTCAGTCAAAGCAAAGCAGATCCGTGTCTTTTCACAAAAGTGGTTTGTGATAAAAAAATTAATTTAATAGTGTATGTTGATGACATCCTAATAAGTTCTACAGAAGGACTAATTCTTCAAACAATCAATGATTTAAAGAAACGTTACCAAATAACGCATCTTGGTGAAGCTAAATATTTCTTTGGCATGGAAATAAATCGCAAGGAAGATGGAAGTTATCTCTTATCACAGAAAAATAAAATAAATCAACTTTTCAAGCAATTTCAACTTGAAGAGGCGAAACACGCTAGCACACCAATGGAAACGAACTATTATAACCTAAACAAGGAAGAAAATCTCCTAACTTCAAATGATAAATTTCGCCAAGCTATTGGAAGTCTTTTGTATATATCGTCTATCACAAGACCAGATATCACAGCTTCAACTCACATACTCAGCAGAAGGTGTAATAATCCACGTCAAAAGGACTGGAATGCTGTTATAAGAATCATTAGATACTTAAACACGACAAAGAACCTATCCTTACAAATTTCGTCGAGTGAAGAACCTAATATTACAGGTTTATTCAGATGCTGATTGGGGACAAGATATTGAAGATAGAAAATCTACATCAGGAAGTGTTATTTTATTAGGAAGGAACTGTATTTCATGGTTTTCAAGAAAACAAACTTGTGTTTCTTTATCCTCAGCAGAAGCTGAATATATTGCACTATCGCAAGCTATGCAAGAACTATTATGGCTATTAAAATTAACAGAAGATTTCAATCTACCCCAAACTCTACCGATAAAGGTATTTGAAGATAATCAGTCTACTATAAGACTTGTAGAATCTGAAAAATTCAGTTCACGCACAAAACATATTGATACAAAAGTTCATCATATACGCGACTTGAATAACAAAGGAATAGTAAAACTTGCTTATCTTTCAACAGAGGAAATGGTTGCTGATATTATGACTAAACCAATTCCTAAAGTTAAATTTCAGTTTTGCAGGAATGAATTACAATTGGTATGAGTTTCATTAGCAAAACAGGGGCAATGTTAGCATAAATTTAGGTATTTTGCATAATGAAACTCGAAAGGCATACGAAACGAACGTGCGCCAAGGTATATATTGGCGAGAGAAAGTAAAGCTCGTTTGCAATGCAGTATATTTGATTTTCACCCTAGCTACTTGTATCTGACTAAAGGTCTAATCCAGTAGTACTTTCTTCTCTTTCAGGTACGATGGCAAAGTATATTCCTGTTTATTTTTCTTATTGCCTTATATAGGTAAGCCTGATGATATTAGTACTGATGATGATTCTATGTAAGTTATCTCTTTTGAATACTTCAGTGTTTTAATGTCTGTGAAGATTATTACTTTTATTGTTATGCTTAAGTTAAGCAGAATTATCCTATTTTATTAAATAAAAGATTTCGTAGTTAAAATTTTTGACTTATGATTCTTTAATTCTGTGCTTGAGGAAACGTACTCATTACGCCTTCAGTGCTAATGCACAACCAACAATTACAGACTGAAAACACAAAAAATTCTAAATAAGGGTAAGTGGATATTTACTTTGTGTAATGCATAGACGCGATAATAGTGCGTAGTGCTTTTTTATGT